GAATTTGATTCAGCACAGATTAGTCCATCTATTATTTTGTCTGAATCTACCTCCTCCCCATCAATGCCTTGCCTTTGCCATTCAATTCAACAAATTGCTAAGGAACTAAACACATTCTTTGCATACTATTTGCTTCACTTTGGGCCAAAATGTAAGCCATTAGGAGGGTATCTGACATCTCTACAGCCCAGCTGCACAGTACCCTTGGCTTTCAAATTCCAGCCTTCATAATATCATCAAAGACTTTCTTGTTCCATATAAGATATAACCCTTGACTTTCAAACTTGGTCTGTCAAAACTTGAGTAGACACACTCAATGGCAATCAAGTTACATCAAGATGTATTTCTTTTTTTATTTTTTAAGGAAATCAAGATGTATTTCTTAACTTAGGATATATGTGAATCAGGGCACCTTAGTAGCAAAAAAATTGAATAACAATTAACAATTGGAGCCAAACACATTTACTATCATGAAGTTTGTCTAGTGATAAGAAATTAATTGTACCATAATAATCTTCAAGTAAAAAAGAATGCAGCCAGTTGAACTTCTTATTGAAAAAAAAAAAATGGTTTCTACTACTCTATACTAGATAATGAGGCCTAGCTATTTCAATCTTTTTAATGGAATTTTGCTTGGTATGAATCACTAATCATCGTTGATAAAAGTATACAATTGTCTTATCCCCTTTCCAACACAGTGAAGCATGGCATGAATTGCATAATGGACTAACATGAATACGGTGTGCCAAATGAAGACGACTACTGCTAGTCCGCTACTACTATACCACAGCAAACATAGTGCCACGAGCCCACGAAACCCACCCTGGAGGTTGGGGGTATGAAGAGAATTCCTCCCAGGGTATAAAGTTATGTAAACCACTCTGCAATCCTAATGCCATTAAAACCCACCACCACTACCTTCCACCAAGATCCACTTAATACCATTAACCCTGAAAAATCATCGTGTATACCACATTACCACCACACACACATACATATCATCACAGTCCCACCATAGCCAATCTACATAGTCTACAAACATGTGATTGCACACATCGTTTATGAACATAGAGTTCCTATTAACATTAATTACAGCTTAACTTTCCCAATTCATGCCAATAAATGGGTTGTTCTTGTTTCGTCTAAAAGTTCTTTTGCATTTCAAATTTTTTGTGAGACATTCATAGTCCAAACATGAAGAATTTCTAAAGATGAAGGGAAAACGAAGTAAGCAAAATACAATAGAAACAACAATAATACAAAAGTCCCAAAAATGGCTCGGTAACTTATAATTTAACACAATTTAATGGGCAATAATAGAATTTATCAAGAAAATCAACATAATTGAGTAAAATTAAAAGAGTAACAAGCAATTATACTACCGAGGAACATGGGTTAATCAGGGAAGACAAACAAACAAAGTAATTAAAATGGGGTTTAAAATAACTTACAAAGTAAAACTGGGTAATTTCCAAACTGAAGATCGAAACTTTGATTTTCCTGCAGTTTGGCAAGAGAGAAAATTACAAGGAAGATAACTACTGAAGAAATGAGAAATTGAAGATCCAAATAAAAAACAGGCCAAATGTAAACTGTAAAGTTAGCCAAATAAAAGGCCAGTTAAGCTGGAAACTAGGAAGTGGTGCTCGTGGGCCGCTTTAACAAATTGGACACCACATGCTACCAAAAAAGTGGAAACTGATTCAGCATGTTTAAGTAGAGACGTAAAAAACTCATCCGACCTGACTCGATTCGACCTGATTTGAAGTGGTTCTTAAGGAATTGTAAAGGCTAAAGGGAGCAAATTTATTAGTAAGTGACTACTTGGGGTCTCGGGATGACTTTAGATAATTTCAAGATAATTGTATACTGGTATTGCAATATTTATACTGTAAACACTCACTTTTTTTTTTTTTTAAGTGTTATTTTCATATATTTACTTAACTTATCCGAACTTATTTAAATTGATTTAGATAGCAAATCAATGGTTAAGAAATTAAGTTTCATTTAGCATTACATTTGTCCACATATGCTGTCATGGTCAAACGAAAATGATCCTCACTCTAGTAACTCCAACAACCAGCACGTTTAACAGAGTTTAACTCTTTATTTAAGATAAGCACAATCACTAAAATTTATCCCATCCATTACAAATCTGCTTTAAAAGCCAAATTTCAAACATACTTGCCAAGAACAACTAAAATTCGTGCTGAGCATATGGTAACTTCCTTCAGCTCCATACTCTAATTCAACCAATATTTTTCTCAACAAAATTTTCATGATGAGCAATATGCATGATCAATTTCTCACAGGAGCTGAGCATCAGATGGAGGGAGCAATGTTACACAAAGTCACAAAGTGCAATCCTTAGCTAGTTAAACATATATATATACAAAATTCAGTCACTATCTTCCCTCTTCATCGTCAATTCCTCACTGATGTGGTGATTTCTTTGGTGTAGGTTATCTCGCTAAATGGTACTCCAAATCATTTACCAATAACCAACTTCAAGACTGATCAAAATCTAGATCTTTGAATTCTTTCATTACAACTGATATATCATTTTGAGTAAGCTTGTATAATACAAATTCAGCAACTCTGCAAGTCAAAGAATGTGGTATTATATCAAAAATAATTAGATTGAAACCAAAGGTAAGAAATGAGGATACATTATTTTCTTATGAGAAAGCATCAGATATCATCATTCTTGACTCATTGTACTTGCTCTACACCTCCATCAACGTCAGTAGCAGCAGCCTCAACTCTCAAGATCTACAATAGTTGCACACCGAGTAATAACCCACCTAACTAGGGCATTTTGCCTCCTTTCAGCATAAAGCTCAGCGAGATGAAGGAAGAATAGCCCCAACCATACACTGGTTGTCAAAATCCACATAATTGCAAAACGGCCTGCCTCAGTAGAAAAGCCATAATCTCCATATCCCAAGGACATGATTGTAGCACAAACACAATAAAAGGCATCAACAGCTTCCAACTTCTCAACCAGCATCAAGAAACATACAGTCCTGCATATCATAAGTAAAAGAAGGGCTAGAACGACCACAGTGCAATTTTGTCGAATTTTGCTTGTTTCCATGATATCCTTCATAATATCACCAGTGCGAATAAGTTGTTTGCGCATATGCAATATCCTGACAAGCAATAATTCTTTCTTCTCAGCAAGATAATTTGTACCTCAATTGAAAACCAACCCTAACCCTACCAAAGCCATCCCCCAGAAGACGAATGCACAAATGAGGAGCTTAGCAAGGGAACTTTGCGGGACCAAGTCACCATATCCAACTGTAGTCATGGTAACCATACAAAAGTAAAGAGCATCTACTATGTCATTAGTAGTCTTTGTACCACTAAATTGATATCTTATTATGTAAAAGGAAAACCGAAAATGCACCAACAGAAGGTAAATAGTCACAAAGATAGTGATTCGATTACAGCTTGGACGGAGTCTCTAACAGATAACTTTGGGAGTAGGACCAGGCTTGTGACAAGCAGTTAGATTATCTCCAGAGAGGAGGGCTGCTATGGGTGGAGCACTTCTAGACCGGCGAAGTCTAAATTGCACCATTGGAGGGCTGATTAATTGACATGAAAGATCTATGGATTCTTCCAATAGTGGTTTGTTCAGGTTCTTTTGATTCACCATTTGCAAGTATTTACAAATCTAGTATAATCAGCAAATAACCTACAGAGTATTGAAAGCTCAGAGTTTAGTTTAAAAAATTTCCTCTAAAAGCTAGTATAATAAGTTTTACACAATATGGATTAATTTTTGAGGGACGACCATCTCAATCTCAAATGGGAAAAATCTCACAGGTATATTTGTTTGTTGTTCTTGGCATATGTAGGTTTATGTTTTGACAAAAAGAACTTGAGACTGGACTCTTGTTCCCACATGTGAGATATGGCTTTATCATTATAGTTATTTCACTTCAAGTTCGTAGCTTAAGGAATAGTAAGATTGATAAAATTCCACTCCCTATTCTTAGTTTGTAGCATCTCATGCAAAAACGAATCAATTATTGATATGAACCAAACATATATAGTTTATATATTTAGTTGTTTACACACCCCAAACCACCACAAACATCCAGTATAAAATCACGACAATTTTTAGAACACCATAAAACATACTTGTATTCCGCATACCATCACAATTTTTAAAAAAAACATCATGAAGCATGTATCACCACACCAATCCAAAGCATCATATAGCAACATAACCATAGATACCACAAGCTTTTTTTTGCTACCTGATATTGGAATTATTGACAACTCTAGGGAGATTCATAAAATAATCCTCGTTACACTTCCTCTAACCTTCTCCCTTCTCTTCCAAAAAAAATTATGATCTATAGTGTAAACAAAAAGAAAAAAAGTCCAACCAACCACTGGCTCGCTAAATTCAAGTCTAACACCATATATCGGTATTTAAAAGGGTACAATCAACAAACATAATAGAATCCACAAGTATCATGCACAAAGTATGAAGCATTTGCTACGTACTAAGAAACTTAAGGGCAAAAGAGAATCAAGAAACAAAAATAGAAACACCAGTCCATAAAAGGAAACAGAAATAGGGTATAAAAAAATTCTTACCCAGTAATATTGGGCCTGTGTCCAATGAGATCATATATCTGAACTGGTTGGATTTCCTGGTACATGATGCAAAGAAAAAAAATTACAGGGAAGAGGAAAAAAAAAACCATATTCCCTGCTGAAATAAGCACTTACTGCTTGCTTGAATAAATAATCATGCTCCCCATTATTTAATATTCATGTGTACAGCTATGACAATTTATTAATTGCTTGAATAATCAATACTTTAATGGTCACCTTATTATTTAATTTTTCATGTCTACAAACTACAGCTATGCTAAATAGACTACTATTCTTATTTTAAAACAGAAAGATACATGAACTCTATATTTTATTTGGTGACATCATATTGTATTCCTACCTGAATCTACCAAGTAATACCCACACTGATAAATGTACAAGTGATTGTATATCAATATATTTTCAATCTCGTTTACAAGATGGCAAAAAGTTTTCAATGATGTTCACTACATACCCATCGTTGTTAAGAGAGGATTGTTACGTATGAAAGTAGTGAGTAGTGACATACCCAAACAACCAACAAGTCAAAAGATGAAAAACAGGCATATACATGCACACTTACAAAATCATGCCACACAAGAAATACCAAAAATCACAATCCTTTCTCATAGCTCTACTCATCCACAATTCTCTTTATTGCACTGCTTTGGTGATCACTATGGATGTAGGTTATGAAGCTAATTGTTGCAAATCATACACCGACAAAGTTCCCGACTGATCAACATCTAGTTCTTCAAAACCTTTCATTACAAGTGATATATCATTCTGTGTAATCTTCCCCATCTCCTTCAGCTTATACAATACAAATTCAGCAGCACTGCAAGGTTAAATAATGTAGTAATAAGATACATGGAGCTATGATTCTATTTTGAAGAAAAAAAAAAAAGATAAAACGAAGAGTTTATACTCAGTAATAAGTAGTAAGGTGATTGTGAACCAGTTTATGATTCAAGGTTTGATTTCATGACATCAAAATCAATCATATAATCATATAAAAGCCTTAATTGATCCCATCATTACACCAAAATACATCTTTTACATGATTAGTTGGACTTTAACACTATTAATCCATCACTTAAATTCATCTGGTAGTACTATGTATTACGTAGTATCATAGATTTTGTTACATCCATTCAGAAAAAGTAAATTGTAAGAGCTGAACTAACCTGATTTAATTTGTGTAATGAGGTTCTTTTAGGATATCCAGTTAAACTTAATTATTCTTTTTGCCATTTAAAAAAGTGACATCTATTCAAACATCCAAAAAAGAATTACATTATTGGAATGGAAAGGGAAATTTTTAGTTCAGAAAAAATAAGGCAATAAATTACATTATGTGCAGCTATTATTCCTCTGAAACGTAAAAATGTAAAAATGCTATATTTAACACTTACTCTACAACTCCATCGTTGTCCATATCAGCAGCCTCTAGATCTACAATAGTCACACGTCGAGTAAGAACCCACTTGATAAGGGCATTTTGCCTACTTTCTGTGTTAAGCTCAGCAAGATAGAGGAAGAATTGCCCCAAGCAAATAGTGCTCATTAATATCCACAAAACTGCAAAAGCACGACCTCCTTCTGTTGAAAAGCTAAAATCTCCATAACCCAAGGATGTCATTGTAACACAAACACAGTAAAGAGCATCCAGAGTATCTAACTTCTCTACAAAAATCAGGAAAACAATCCCACTGACGATAAGTACAAAAAGGATTAGTGCAACCACAGCACACTTATATCGAACTTTCCCTGATTCAATCTCCTTCATAACGTCACTTGGTTGAAATCTTTTGCGCATTTGCAATGCTCTAATGAGCAATGCCTGTTGCTTCTCAACGAGATAATCTGCCCCATGGCTAAGAACTAACCCTACCAAAGCCATCCCCAAGAAGACAAAAGCACAAGCAAGGACTTTAGCGAGGGCACTTTGAGGGACTAAATCACCATATCCGACTGTAGTCATGGTAACCATACAAAAGTAAAGAGAATCAATGATGCTATTACTAGTCTTTTTACCACTTACCTGATCTCTTACTATATAAAAACAAACACCACCAGTAAGAAGGTAAAAAGACAAGTACATAGTTATTTTTTTAAAGCTAGGATGGAGTCTCTTAAAGAGGGATTCAGGTGAGGGATCAGGCTCGTGATCAACAGTTGGAAAATCTCCAGGGAGGGACACGATGAGAGGAGCACTTCTAGACCGATGAAGTTTCTTCTTCTTCTTTGCTACATCCTTCTGATGGCATGAGGAAGGATCAACTGATTCTGATAGCAGGGGTTTCTTTAAGTTGTTTTGATTCTCCATTTGGACAACCTTAGAGGCTTTCAGCTAGCAGAATTCCTAAATATCCAGCACAATATTGGAAGTTCAATTCAGTTTCATATATGTCCCTAATTCCTTAAATAACATGGTATCAGCTTTGTGATACACTTTTACCATTTTTTCATTATCAATTATTAATAACATTTACGGAGGCAATTTACTTTGTTCCCTGATAAAATCTTGTAGAAAAGAATCATCAACAGAGTGAAAGCTCAAAAGAACGCCATAGGAACATGAAGAAATAAATCTAGTTCATCATTATATCATACAAATTCCTCTTTTCCCCTTTAATTTCTTTTTCCAACTATTTGAGATTCTTGGTCAGATAATACAGAAACACAGTCAATAAAACTATGTTGTATAAATGAAACAATTGAACTTTAATTCAGATATACCCCCTCTATTCCAAATTACTAGTCACGTTGACAATGTAATTTGACTAGACTGGAAACTAAATCGAAAAAAGGGTAAATATAGCAAATAATACTCCACAAATCCATATCAAGCATGCACTTAGTAATTAACATTAATCATGAACTTTGATACCAAAAACAATATATAACTAGAAGTCATTGTAATAAACTGGATTCAAAAGAACAGAAAAGTACCAAAAGAAAAAAGGATCTTACCAAGGAGAAGACAATGTACAACAAGAAATATGAAGCTTGTAAATTCTATGGAGGACGAAAATAGGATGACAAAAAATATGAATGAATCCTTTTCGAAGGCAGACCGAGTCCGGTATGTGCGAGTTAAACGACAGGGACGCATTACACTTGCACAATATCCACTGGCCGGCCATATCTCACCTCAACTCTAAGAATTCTGCTATTAATTTGATATGATCAACCAAACATTAATTCAAATAAACTGCATTATATTTTACCCAAAAATAAATAAAATAACATCAGCATATATGCAATTCCACTCTAAATTTCATGTGTATAACATCAATATCCACAATTAAGAGTATTGAATCACAGAATAATAATAATTCAATACTGCTGTACTAAATTGAAGTTCAAATTAAGCAAAATTCTATCGGCATTTAAAAAAAAAAATTGCATAATGTCAAAATTACTTGAATCAAAGCATAATCTTTAACCTAACAAATTATGTATTTAATGTGAATCTGAAATTTAAGTAGTAATTAGCATAAGAAAATAAGATTGAAAATTTGAAAATTGTTGAAACCTAAATTGAAATTTGTTAGAGAAAATTTGAAATCGAACCATTTTTAAGCAGAATTTGTGGCTTCGTGTCGTATATTCTGTTGGGATTAATCACCCGCGAATGGAAGCACTGGTTTCTGAAAAATAGGTTGCTTTGGAGTTTAACGTTCCCTCCATTTTTTCGCACTTCACTAAGGACTTGTTTGACATTTTTTTATTTTCAGATTTTTTGAAAACAAAAAACCAAAAACAAGAAAAAAGTATTTCCATTTTTCTATTGTCAATTTTCAAAATTATCATATTCTTAATAAATTTGACTAATTTTTTATTCATTATATTACATATATCATATGATTTTGGAAAACAAAAAACTAAAAAACAGAAAACCACAGCGATGCCAAACGAACCCTTAAACTTTGCAATTTTTTTTTTAATTAACACTTCATTGTTTGATGGTAGTCTTTCTAGCGTCATCTTGTCAATCCTAAAAGAAAAAAAAAAGTCATCTTGTCAAGGGGTGTTAAAAGAGCTTAGGTAAGCTCGGGCCGCTTGGCTCGAGCTCAAATTTCATCAAGCCTATAAATGTTGAGCTTGAGTAGACGAGACTCATAGAGGTGAGCTCAACTTGGCTTAGAAAAAGGCGGATAGTCATTGTTTCAAAAACAATTAAATTTTATTTTTTTATAACTTTACATTATATCACTTGTTGGTTCATGAGCTTTTAGGCTTGGCTCGTGAAGATCTTGAGTCGAATCCAAATTCAAGTCAAAGCCCACTCGAGTCGAGCCTGTATTGAGCTTTGACCAAGACAAGCCTTAAATAAGCTCGACTAATCAAATGTTGTGAACACCCCCTCATACCAAGTCGAAATGTTGGATACACGGGCCTCGTGCTTAAAATGGGTTATGAAACAATGGGTAAGGTTGTGTACAAATTCAATTTTGTCATAGTGTAGTGTCTATGAGATTTTTATGTGCACTCGGGGGTTGCTTATTCTAAATCCAAGAATATTAGGTCAAATTACTCCACTAACATTTGTGTTACGTGTCAACTATAGTGGACAATGAAACATGTTCTTATCACCTTATATTTTAAATCTGTAAAAATGATTTTTTTTTATAAATAAATATAATAGTTTTGCTCATTTATAACGTTTATCAAGATGTAAGGGCCTGTTCTTTTACGTTAAAATTCAGTTCAGTTCAGTTCATTTCAATTCAGTTCATTTCAGCTTAGCTCCTAATTTCCTTCTCTTATAAAATATTCATTTCAGTTCAGTTCAGTTTAGCTCAGTTCAGCTCAGTCAATGAGAACATACCCTAAATCTAATAGTCAATATCTTTATACTTAATAAGAAAAAAAAATAAAAAAAATATATGATAGCATTTTCTTTAGATAATCAAATAAGATTCAACACGTTTATATTTTTGTTATGTATAAATCACAAAAGATGATCAAATGTAAGTATAAAAGTCAAAGTAAGGATACATTCTCTCCACCTCATTTTTACAAAACTATTATTTTTACTAATTCTTTATTATATTTGTTCCTTTTATGTTATAAAATATATCGATTAAATTTATTTTTATTGAGCTAAAATTATTTTTAATTTTTTTTATTGAATTACATTAAAAGAGAAATTAAAGAATTATTAAAATAAATTTTAATTAGTAAACTTAAGCTAATTTCTTTTTTTTTTTTTTTTTTTGAAAAAACTTAAGCTAATTTCAGTAATAATTAATTTAAAGTTAATAAAATTAATATCAGAAATCTATTCAAAAAAAAAAAAAAAAAAACAGAAATCGTGGAGAGAACCTTGCCAACATATATGACCTAAAGCCCTAAACTGTAAACCCTTTAGACACCTCAGCTCTCAGCCTCCTTCACTCAGCTCTTCAACCAAATTCAGAGCTTCGAATTGCTCTTCAAATATTGTTCCAGTTCTAGGTAAATTTTCATTTTCCTTTTTATTTTCTTACCTTCACATCTTCCTGTTTAAGCGATTTTTCATGCGAATTAATGGTACAATTGATTGAATGAATATGTTTTTTTGAGAAATTTGCAGAATAAAAATGGCAGAAAAAGAGGAGCAGGCATTGAATTACATAGAAGAGACAGTGTTGAAGAAGAGGAAGCATAGTGAGGATTGGGCGATTAGAAGGAGGCAACAATTGTTGGAAAGACAATGGAAAATCAAACAAGACAAGAAGCTTGCTTTTAAGAAACCTGAGGATTTTATCAAGGAGTACAGAAGTAAAGTAATCTTCTTTCCTTCATTCTTTATTTTCGGATTTATTTTTACACAATTTTCAGTTTTGCTTGGAATTTTAATGTTGGGTTCATTTTTTTTGGTTATGATTTTGATGGGTATACTTTGATTAGGATTTTTTTTGTGTGTGTTAATTTTGTAACAGATGTGATTGGTTGATGCGAAAGTCAGGATTACAATGTTGGATTGACTATTGTGGGGTTTTAGGGTTTTCTTCATATTATCCAAGTAGGATTTGTGGGTGTGATTTGTTATAATGTTTGAAGTTATGTTAGGGTGAACAAGAGTTGTAGAAAATTAGCAAATTGCTTTTTTTGGTTTTTGGAAAGTATTTTTTGGGATGAACAAGCTTAGAAGATAGTTTGATAGGTATAATTTCTGTCGCGTGGCTTGAAGAATTAGTAGTATTGATTCAAATGTTACGATTATTTTTATTGTGGCAATTTAGAGTTAATGTGATGATGTTTTGATAGAGTCATGGAGTTTTATTTTGGAGTTGCATCTTTGGTTTCCGGCAGCATATTGGGGAAGAATTATATATGGAATAAATTGGCAATGAAGATAGTTCCTTAGGTGTATATTCATGGGGAGAGTTTAATAGATAGTAGTTTTATCTTGGAGTGGGTCAATCAGGAGCAGCCTTTTGTCTTGCTATGACATCTCAGTTAGTTATCTACTTGTATTGATCCTTTTTGTAGTGTGCCCTTGTGTGATATGTTCTGTGTAACTTCAATTATAATGTTTGGTGTCGAGCCTTAGAATGTGAGGTCATTGAGTATATGATGCACCTTTTGAAAGAGAGAGTTATGATCACAGTGTATTTCTTGCTCATGACTCATGAGTCATGACATGAGTCATGAGCAAGAAATATATAGGTTCTCTGTTGAGCCTACTAATGACAACAATGCTGCCTATGCTGGTTCTATCCTGCTTGTTGAAATTAGCCAAATGGGAATTAGACTAAGAAGTAAAAAAGACGAGGTTTAGCTTGGTTGGTACTTGGTACTTTTTTGGAAGAAGATTTTAAATATCTAACATTTATTCCCTATGGGACTTCTAATCTGAACAATGGCATAGTGACATTTTTTGCTAGTGTACTTTAGGTTTTTTAGCTAGTGTACTTTAGGTTTTTTAGCTAGTTCTGTTAAACGTGGTGAGCAAGGAGCTGACACAGGAAGTAGGAATGATGTATGAGCTGGGATAGAAAAGGTTTTAGCTTGTCTGGTTTAAGAAATATTTCACTGCTGCTGCCTATTTCCTATGAGTTTTAACTATTGATGAGACAAGGGTTCTGCTTGTGCAGAATGGCAAAATTCATTTGCCATAAGAGAGTTAATTAATTTGGATCTCTTGTCCTCTCCAGAAATTATTGGTTTAAGTTGCTGTAAATTATCACTGGGTAGTAGTTCATTTTACTTGGGCAGATGTGGCACAGTATGAACCTAAGATTTACATTTGTCCCATCATCCATAGCGGGTAACGGGTACAATTTTCTTCCCCACCTCTGCGGCTCTGCCCCACTACCCACCAAACTTAACTCGATCCCTGCCTCATTGGAGTAGGTCTTTTGTAGTTTTGTTATACCTGCATTGACATTCACATCCCTTGTAATAGAATCAAAATATTTATTATATCTTACAGTATTTTTATGTGCCTCTGGTCAGATAATTACTCTTTGGGGATTCCTTTCTTCTTATGATTGTTTCTGTGGATCTTGTATTTGTTAATTCTTGAGCTGCCCTAACATCGTTGGAGATAAGGTTTTTTGCATATGGGTTTTAGGGATTACCCAGCTTGGATGGCTATAGTACATGCTAGTTTTAATTGTATCAGATATGGAAAAAAAATCATATTTGTGGTTGTCTGGTAAAATATTCTGTATCACAGTAGTTTGAAGTATAATACAGGTGTCTTATGTCTGCAATTATCATTTTGTCACATGTATCAGCAAGCTATACTTATAATTCTGCCTTCTGGGCAAATTCTTTTCTATTTTGCTCTTTTGAGTTGCATACATGGTTTCTGAGTTGTTGAGTTACATTCTCTATATGATTAGGGATTTTTTATTTTTTTATTTTATTCATTATTATGTATCAGTGTATCACTCTTTACTTACTACTTATCTTTTATTTTATCTGAAATTCCATTTTAGCAAATGGATTTGGTCAAGATGAAGCAGAGAGTTAAGAGGCGGAAAACTTCCACTGCATCATCATCAAAGCTTATCTTTGTCATCCGAATTCAGGGGTGAGCTGAGACTTGAGAACTTGTATCATTGTTTTTTGGGCTTGAATGCAAATTTACCTTTATAGTTACCATTGCCATTACCTTCTCATTAAATGTGATTTATTATTTTTCAGTAATGCACCTGTTCATCCACAAATTCAGAAGATTTTGAGGTCATTTGGATTGAAGAAAATATACAGTGGTGTTTTCTTAAAAGCAACTGAAGGGACTCTAGCAATGTTGAACAAGGTGGAACCATATGTAACTTATGGGTAAGGATATAATATTATTGTGTGCTGGTTGTATAGAAGTATAGAACTATAGACTATGGCTAATTATATACTTTATTTGATGCTTTTTGAATTTATCTATTGTCATAATTCTCATTAAGTCTTGGAATATCAATAAACATTATGGTCGTTCCTGCTGCATGTTTTGTCTACTACACAAGTACAAAGTGATGAGTCCTTTTGCCTATGTTGATCTTGTATATCTTCTTGAAGTACTGCATGGTTCTCTATCTTTAGTTTCTTTTGAAAGGAGAAAGTTATACTTTGTATTAGGAAGTGTTGGTTGGGTGTAAAATGTTTTCCATGAAAACGAATTTTCCATTTCCCATAATTATTTTTGTTTGGTTTGTAAACAGTTTTCCTTTATAAAGGAAGGGAAACTATATCGTCCTCCCTCCTTCCTATCTCCCTTGTACTCTCCTCTCATTTATCCTCTCCCTTACTTTGCATAGAACCAAAGAAAGGAAGACCTAATGTTGCAATAGTATTTTCCATGTAAAATTGTTTTACATTAAATATATTTTACGTCAAACCAAATTGAGCCTTAGTCGTTCATTCTTTTGCCTGGATGCTTTAACCTGTGGGGATGGGAGCTAGCCAGCTAGGAGAAGCTGACATGCGAGTATCCTACAGTCCACCTCATGTATGACTGGCTTTTCTGAATTGTGTAAGCTGTAAGCAGTCTGTGGGGTACTAGCCACATAAAGTTTTTATTGCTTCTTGGCTTTGTTTTGTCAGTCAGTTTTCTGACCTCTTGTTTTGTATGATTCGGGTTGTACGTTGGTGTGTGCTCTTAGATGATTGTTTTGTGCTGTAAAAGTAATACAATGACAAGTATTCATTGATTAAGTTTTTAATCTAGGATTAAATACAGTATTTGGCGGCATTTCTATTTTTATTCTGTCCATCATCAATTTTCTTTTAAGTTTAAAAACCAGTGCTTGATGAAACACTTTAATGCCATATAAAGTCATTAGGTTCTAACGAAGGATATTAGCATTGCTTGTTGTTTGTTTTATTTCTCTCATTAGAGCTGTCCACTAACTGTAGGTATCCAAATCTTAAAAATGTGAGGGACCTCATCTTTAAGAAGGGTCTAGCAAAGGTGGAAAAGGAGAGGGTTCCTCTAACAGACAATAATGTCATCGAGCAGGTATGATAATCTAAAAATTGCTACAGTTACTAATTTCTGATGAGCTGCCATTAAATTTCTTCATTCCTAAAGATTTATAGCAAGACATGATGAATGTGAATTGTTTCTGTCCAGGCATTGGGGCAGCATGGTATTTTATGTCTTGAGGATATGGTCCACGAAATTCATTCTGTTGGCCGACACTTTAAGGAGGTAACTCGTTTTCTATGGCCCTTCTCCCTTGCCAAGCCTCAAGATGGATTCTCAGGCAAGAAAAATCTATTCAAGAATGGTGGAGACTCTGGAAATCGCGAGGAAAATATAAACGAGCTGATTGCTAAGATGACTTAGGGCTTGCATAATATGCATAGGTGCATTATGTATCGGAGAATGCTTATAAAAACAAGCATATGTAGTTTGTATTCTATAGTGGACAACTTTTTTCAAGTGGTATCCAATGGTTGCAATTTTGCTTATACGTTCATTCACGCCCTCGTCTATTGGTGATTGTGACACTTTGATTTTCATCACTTCAATTATTAGTGTTGATCTAATTTTTGGAAACAAGCCAAAATGAGCAAGGTTTTTGGGACAAATTGACAAAGTTGGCAACTACGGTTGCCCTATTTTAGTATTTCTTTCGACCAAAATTTTTAAGTTTGATTTTAATACATTAACAAACGCTCAATAATCGTTGCTCTATACTCCCTCCGTTTTTAAATACTTGTTCTACTTTTCATTTCTGGCCGTTTTTAAATACTTACTCCATTTCCTTTTTTGGAATGTTTTTACAATATTTAATTTATTTCTCAGACCTAGTAGACCCAACATAATAATCTTTCTCCTCTAATTCTTCCACTAATGTATTTTACAATTTTTTATTCTCTCAACTACCCCACTATCTCCATATTGTATTACTTTATCCAATTTTTTCTTTCTAAAACTCTGCGCATGGAGAAATGAAACAAGTATTTAAAAACGGAGGGAGTATAATAAATCTGTGTTCGAGCAAAATACTTGGCATCTAATATTTGAGCAAAACACAAAAAAAAAAAAAAAAAAACAAAAACAAAAAAACGAGGCAACAGAGTGTCAATAGAACAAAAAGTTTCTTTGCTTCACAAGGTCATGTTTGAGAGGAGATTAAGGTTGTCTGAATCAATAATTGTTCCTGTCTTCAACGATAATAACAAAGTCTCGTTGGTATCTTTAGATTTCATGTTGGTATAATTACTATACCAATATACTTATACCAACAAGATTGTTGGTATTTTTAAACTTTATGTTGGTACAATTACTACATCAACATGACCTATTTTTAGACTTTATGGTGGTACAATTACACCAACATGAAGTATAAATGTACCAAACCAAAAATTTCGGGGTCACCAATGAAAAACTAAGTGTTGGAGTTTTCATTGAGAATGTTCATAATGTTTATGGGAGGTGTCAATTTGCAAAATTGGGTCGTTATCGATAGAGTCAGGTCAGATCTATTTTAAACGCGAGTCATGTTAAACCGGGTTTGTTATCATGTAGTCTGATCAAATTGAATCAGGTATGTTTTTGACACCTTTATCACGTCGTCGTGGTCATAAACGCTGCTAGTTTGACATATTGCAACTCCCTCCTCAATCCACATCTAGTGCCAAACAACACCACAACAATGGAGGAAGGGCAAGACTCATGGACATCAGTAGACAAGCTATACCACATCATCTTCTGCTTCTCCCTCACACTCCTCTTCTCTCTCCTCATCTCTCTCACTCATTCCTCCTTCCTCCGAAGTCGCTCTCTCTTCTTCGCCGCTTCTCTCTCTCTCCTCGCCGGCGCCGCCAAAGAAGCCGCCGATCACCTCGGCTTCTTCCGCTCCTCTGGCGCCTCCGCCAAAGACGCCGTCGCTGACGTCATCGGCGTCGTCATTGCTTGCTTCCTGCTTTCTCTCTCCAAATTCTTCAAGCGGAAGTCCAAAATTGATGATGATGATCCGATTGCCGGTATTGCGCTTGTTTGAATCGAGTATCACTTTCTCAGGTTATTGCTGTTTTCTCTCTTAATTATTATGAGAATTCTCGCTGAATTTTGTGTTGATTAGGTTAATTTGAATTTCAAATGTAATCTACACTGTTAGTTTATCAAGGTTTATTATGAAATTGAGCAATGTTGCTATTTGTTTTTTGAATTTTGTGTTGATGAGTTGCATTATTGCCTGAATCAGTGTTATGAATTCAATTATAAATGCTATCGCAGAGATAGATAATTTGTGTAGAGAATTGTCTTGAAATTAGATTGTTTATGAAGATTTGTGGCACGATGTTACATTCTCTACTGCTTATGTTAGCATATATTGCATTCGTATTACGGAATATGTGTTGATGAAATGCATTTTAGGTCGATGTTATGAATTTGAGTAAGAAATGTCTTCAATGTGATAGGCTTTTTCTGTCTTGTAATCGTATTGTTCAGTGTTCATGAACAAATATTGCTCGATGTCTCTTGTAATAGCGCCTGTGCATTTTATATCATAGCTTATTGTATTTGTAATATCAAGTACTTGTATATGTTGATAAGGTGCATTAGAGGTTAATGTTATGACTTCTGAGTTTAAATTGTTATCATGGTGATAGGCACTTTGAGTAGAGAATTAATTTTAAATCACACTGTTTATGAAGGTTTATTGCCCATTATGTGTTTTGCATTTTGTGTATCCGTTTTAGGTTGTTATAACATATTGAACCTGTGTATGATGATGTATGTTGATTTTTTTTTACTTGATTGAAATGCTAATACATTGTCCTTAGTTGTATTACTTTGTAATAAAGAATGGATAGTTCCATGTGAGTTAGAATGAGCTGAATCTATGTTTCGTTTTGTTGTTTGAGAATGTGATATTGGAGAAATCACGAGTAATACTCAGGGTTGCTGGTGAAACAGTAGAGTAGACTGACTGGTCTACTATTTCTAAATTGTTCTTTAAATGTTGAATATCTAACATTTTAGAAATTTAGTTTGACGATTATGACGGGTTGCTGAAGTCTTTGATGGTGCCTAATTTCTAACTTTTTCCATTCTGTGAAGGGGTTGGAAACTTGGAATATAGAGGTAAAAATGGATACCAGTGAAGATTAAATTTTGTAAGTTCTGAACTATTTTCTTAGACAATTGTAGCTGTTGCTAAGATAACTCAGATGATGGCAAGACCTCAAGAAGCAAAATCTGTCACCCTGATCAGCTAGTATGTATTGTTAAATGGCCAAGTGGGACAGGTTAAGATTCAAACTATGACCGATATAGACTATTGGAGAAAAAGTAACGCAACAAAAAGAAGATAGTCAAGCATTCAGCCACTAGATGAGTTAGGGGGAGAAAGAGGGTATGAGAAGAGGTAGTGAGAGGGGAGGAGGGTAGAGGACACATACTTCTCATGGAAACGTATATGGTTAGAATTCATGGTGAGAAGAGGAGGAAATAGTGAAGATTTGGGCTTGAATTTGTCTTCCTAGTTATGTTTTGTTGTAAGAAGAAGGAAAATTGAGCCCTCCAATTTCTTCCTCTTCCTCTTTCCCTTTCCGTTCTTATTTCATATCAGATGATTGAAAATTGATCCCTTACTCTCTCATGACGTCGCCTTTCCAATCTTCCATTCCCTTCTTAGTCTTTAACCCATCGTTGTCTTAACAGAAAAGTGTATAATACGGGAATATCCTGAACAGCAAAGTGTAGGTGTGTGTTATAACTTAAGATAGCTGGTGGTTTTATATGCTTGTCACTGTTGCTAATATGTGCCTATTGCTGTGATAATCTTTTGTTATTGATTCTTATCTCTTACTTGTCTCATCCAAATTTTGCAAACAAGCATTTATGTGTAGTTGTTCAGCAAAACAATTTAGCAAGCTTAACTATTGGCATATCCTTGAGATACTTTATCAATTATTGAAATGGGTGCTTTTAGAAGGCTGGTTTAAAGTATGACCTACAGCTCAAATCAGTAATGCAACCAAGTGTTTAGCTTATTCAATTGTATTTTGCATATTTCTGAATTGCAAACACAGTGGTTTTTAAGCACTTTTAGTGATCTCCTTTTTTAAGTGGTGGTAATTATCCTTATGATGACAAGGAAATTTACTTTTGAGTGGTTTTGTTCAATTTTTCTCGTTCATTCTCTATTGCTACTATTTGACAGACTTCTTTGAGTTAATTTTCTTTCATTGTTCTCGCTGTAGCAATTGGCACTTTATAGTTTCTACTAGTGGTTTATTTTGATTCACACTTGTACTCTCTGCTTGTGGTGTCTCTAATTGATTGATCGAAATTCATGCTCAGGTACTGTGGATGGAAGTTACGTAACCGGTATGGATGTCTACAATGACTTTTGGTCTGCTGAAGAGGTGCAATTGGCCACCGTCTTTTAAGATTTTCCCATCATGCAGGTTAGTTTGAACTATTTCTTATTTTCACTTGTTTTGTAAACCATCAAATGTTGCTTTTAGGATATTCACTTGCCTGTAAGGAGTATTGCCTTTGTTGTTTTATTTTTTCTTCCCTTTTTATGTGTGTGTGTGTGTTTTGTTAAATTTCTATTGGGTCCTTGTTCTTTGTAGTTAGTTGTATAGAGAGCTTTTTTTTTCTTCTCCCTGTATTATTGTTTTGGGGATTGATTAGTTGGTTAATGCATTGTTCTTTATCCTTTGGGATGGGGTCGACACGGATGCATCATTCTTGTGCGGATGTTTTGAAGGGGGTCATGGTTGATTCTGGCTAGTGTCAATCTTTAATCCTATAATTAATAGCTGACATTGCAAGAGAAATGATGTGGTGTGATAAGGATCAGTCGTGCATAAGAGAGATGTTCATTGCTTGACAGTCATTAATGATCTTGACATTGCACCAAGAGAAATGTATAACTTCCAATGAACTGTAGAAAACTCAACTCTCAGTTTCACATAGGTCACATTCTTTTGCGATTGACATTACACCATTTACAATGAACACATCAACTAGATACTAGTTGTCATTTTGCTCATAGAAAGCACCATCATTCATTCTGAATAATTCACCTTCTAAAGCTTGCTGCTGCTGAGGGCTGCTTGAGGGCATCTTCATCTTCCTCTGGCAGCTTGATGGCAGAATAGACACCTGCCCCACATAGTGCCCCAAGAAATGGGGCGGTTAAGTAGATCCATATCCCTTTATAATTATTTGCAGCTATGGCTGGCCCCAATGTCCTCACTGGGTTCATTGATCCTCCTGTGGTAGGCCTGTGGAAGAAAGAGAAATAGAATTTCATAATTTGCAGTGCTTTGGTACGGCCACGGGGATTGATTAATGGGACTGGGAATATTGTGGTACATTAATATTGTGTTTGCATGACATGTATTGTTTTGAGTCAACCCATACTAAACATAAACTTCCCTTTTAACGATGGGATCCAAATTTTATGATAGATGATCTTGGGTAATGGTGCCCATTAGTGACGCACTGAGATGGTTTCATCATGAAACGCATAAGCTACTCTGTGAATGAATGTATATGATTGAATCTGACGATGAAAATAAACTTTTTTGTCGCGTTCTTCCTTTAATTAAACAGTTAAATAACCTGAATTCCTCTTTTGAATGAGTGGTTTTGTTCCCTTCTTGAAACTTTCCCATTTGTTAATCCCAGAGAATAATTCGTCAAATATGAATATAATACCTTTTCCTCTTAGATCTGTCACAACACGTATTATGTCTTATTTTTCTTCAACTTTTTTCTTGATGTGATGTAAGCAATATAAGTTGGGAACTCATTATGAGACTGAAGTCTGTTTTCTCAAACCAAAAACAAAAATAATAGAAGTAAGATTAAAGTTTGTTACTTTATGTCTATATATATTCTGGTTTATGTAGGTTATACCAATCATGCCTATTTTCTGAATCATGTATTTTTGGACTATTGCGTTACCTTGTTTAATCAAATAACATAGACGTATTATGAATGTCTTCTTTTGTCTTGGTTTATGATTTGACACTATTAGAAATTAGCAATTTTCATTTGTCAATATCATAGAGCTATCACAAGTATTATAACATTCTCAACCATTTATTAAGACTTTCAATAAATCTTAAAAGTGTGTGTCAATTTCAAATTAAGAAGTTTTTGTTATCTCAAGTATTTTTATGCTTTTATCTTTCTTCTTACTTCCTACATACGAAGTATTATTCAATTTAAAACACGAGCTTTCAAAATTATACTTACCCCTTTTTTGATGTGGAAATCTGACTTGTTAATTTGTTCAATTATTTCTTGCTATATATGCCAACATTCTGAATTTGACCACCCGATGGGTGGAGCATGAGTAAATTTCCAGAATTGGATTATGATTTAGAGGGGGTGAGGCGTGCTTACCCAGCTATAAGTATGTTGAGCATGACAGTTGCCCCCACTGCAATTCCAGCTAGTTCTCCCACCTGCAGAACATTACAAATGTTTTCAGTTTTTCTTAGCTCCTTCATGTTAATAGATTCCTTATATCACTTTGTCTTTCTTCATAAAATAGTGTAGTGTGAGGAAAGGACCTTGTAGACACCCTTTTTCCTTATGGTTTACCAACATTTATAATAAAATAAGTCATTTACAATATACTTTATAATTAGATCTATTTAAAATATATTAGTCTGTGTTTACTTGCTGCAGTGGTGGGTAATTTTTAATTGCTAAGTAGAATCCACTAAACATTAATGCTAGTCTCTAGTAGGCTGTGCATATTAAGTCTTATCCATGTACTACGCCTTTTGCTCCAAACAATTTTTTATTTTTATTTTTGTAGTATTAAATGTGAGGATTGAAGTGCAAAGTTATATGACTTTCTTGAAACTATTTCACTATGGTAATTTTGTTATTTTCTTATTAACGTTGCAAACCCTCACCGAAGCCAAGAATTTCTATTCAGTATCTTGAAGCTTGGATTTTTCTGATGTAAGATTCTATGCATTTACTTTTTTTTGGATTTGTTTAATTCTGAAGAATTATCTCTCTCTTTCTTCTTTTTAAATTGTCGTGAATATTTAAATATCAGAAGTGAAAGCTTGATTAAAAGGAGACATTCTTAAAGAAGTATATTTTTTGGTAGAGGCATTAAAATACAGAAAATTTTGATGCTTACAGCTCTTGTGTCGGTGGCTACTGCAGTGACGACAAACATGAGATTGAAGGCGATGATGAACTCTAATGCAAAAGCCTGACCATAATTCACTGAAGGAACAGTTACACCTCCACCCATGATAGGGTGGAAAATTGCTTTGAGAATAAATGCAGCGCATAGAGATGCTAACATTTGTGCTCCTATGTATATTGGAACCTACATAATCAAATAAAGAAAAACGTATCTGTGTTAAGTATTTGTAAATCCTATCAGTGTATTAATAAAAGGTAGGTTGAAGGTCATAGTTTTGGTTTCTTACTTGAGTCCATGGAAAATGTCTCAGTGCTGCAAAGGCGATGGTGACAGATGGATTCAGATGGGCACCGGAAATATGGCCTGTAGAGAGAATGATGATCATGACTGCAAGGCCACTGGAGGCAGCTAGGCCGATTAGAGTCTCTGATCCATCCGTCTTCTGATTCACAATAGCAGTAGCTGCCCCCGCACAGATTAGTATAAGAGTACCGACGAACTCTGCCACCACCTGATATGATTGAGCAATTATCAGTCAGATGCAAAGACAATCAAGTTCAGTCAGATGAAGGTTCTTTCTGCTTTCTTGCCCTTTTATTTGATTATATACAAAGTACAATTTTTTTTTACTGTTTGATGTACGATAATGGAAAATTTTTCTGAATAACATAATTTCCCTGAATTTCGGAATACTGATCAAAGTTAGAAATTACCTTCTTTGTTAGAGGAACAGGGGGAGGTGGCATTGTAATGCTGCAGGTCACAGCAGGCAAGCCACCTTCCTCATTAGGCCAAGTATCTACAGTGAAACAATTGGATCTCCTACTGAGAAGTGACTTCTTTTTAGGCCTATCGACAGAAAAGCCTCCGAAGAGGGGAGCCCCAGGAGTACCTGGGGTTGCCGGGGTCGAAGGCATAGAAGGAGGATCCTCAGAATCCATTTTTTCCATAATGGCTGAGCTAATCTAAGGTTTGTGAGTGCTTGTTTATTGGCTAATGTTTATCCAAATTTCAGTATAGCAGTATTTATATATTAGTTACACTGTTAAAGGTTGACTTAGGAGGGGGGAATCTCTAGACTAGGAAAAGAGAGAAAAGAAGTTAGTGGATGAAATGGAAGGAGCCAAAAGAGAGTTGGCTTTCATTTGGTGCAATGGACACAATGGTGGTGGGACATTATAGGCCTGTTTTTCCTGCTTGAGATTTCTTTATAAAGGAGCTTTAAGCGTTGGAGAGATTAATCATGATGTTTATTGCCACTTAAAAATTCCCAATGTGTATGATTGCCCCCCTATAATTATGGAGAAGACCACTCGTTTAGCTTGATTAGTTGTCACTGTAACACTGTCAGATCGAGTTTGGGTTTGGAATTTGTCTTAAAGAAATAAGAAAGGTGGTCGTCTTCCTAAAAAACAAAGCAGGAAGGTGGAAGAGGCAGGGGAAAGGTCAAGATTCTGATTGTTGTTTCTCCCTAGTTACCCTCGCCGTTTTCGAGTCTATTTCTCCAATATAAAGTATGCATAACTCTGAAATCGGTCTCACCACAACATCATTCTCACTATAGTATAGCTAGTTTTAGGGTTTCTGTTTTTTTTTTTGTTGAGAAGTAGTTTTTAATATCCTTCCTACCTGACTTAATAGTTAGAGTATATATACAATATAGGGTGTTTGGAAGAACTTATCGCATCTCTTGCAATAGAAATGATCTATAAACTCAAACAAGTTACCGAGTACTTTTTTTATGGGAAGCTGAAAAGGATAGAAATTATACTAATGCGAGTAAGTCTAATGCCTTATGTGTACCATATCTTATATGAAAACAATGCAAGTATGCAGCAACTAGCAAGTAAGTTTGAGCGAGGCTGCGAGGGTGTTTTATACTTTTATGCCATGGCACCAGCCTGTATTATCGAGGAAGTAACTATATATATGGTGATTTAGGGGTCAATTGACATACTTAGGTGCTAAGTAGCTATTAGCAACTTAGAAAAATTCAAATTAATTGAAAAAGGAAAAGAAAAGACAAAAGGTGAGTAAAAACATGAAGTGGGTTGTTGAGTTGATTTGTGGAGCTCAAAGGAATATGAACCTCAAGTGTTTTTGATAAATCCTACTTTTAGGCCGAGATCAATTTCAATAGTGCTGTTCGTTGGCATAAAGCATAATGTAGTTGCTTTTTCTTTTATCTTTTGTGCTACTGTTGTTGATCATCAAATGTGTGAAATTTGGACTTGTTGGTGAAGCTAGCTATAATTAATACTACTTTTGATTTTTTGAATTGTAATCATAAAATGTCACTAACTATTGAAATAAAAGTTACCCCAAAATTGGTTAAAGTTACTCTGAAACGGGTTAACGTTACCTCAAGTTGACCGTTTCACAATAACTTTTATATAAGCCAGTCTCACATAATGCTTTTTATTTTAATATGAAATATAAGGCAAGTAAATTACATTGTCAATTTGACTCATCCTTAAAAAGATATAGAATTATACTAATAATTTATGTAATAATGTGATCTGGGTATAGCTGTGGACTTATGGTGCTTGGGAAATGAAGATACTTGTAGAAGATCTCTTTGCGTCACATCTCACATGGTATGACTGTATGAGCTTCCGGGATTCCACCATTATATTAAACTAACTAATATACAAATATATACTTGTATATGTCTGAGGAATCATTGTGACTTTAAATAACAAAATTATTCACTTTTCATGTAAGTGCTGATACAGTTCACCCCTGTGTAGTGTTTAGAAAATTGGAATTTTTTTCGTTTTGGTAGGTAAGATGAAGGGCTCTACCGGGCTGGTTTGTATGTTGTGGCAAGTAAACTATAGCATCGGAGCCCATGATGAAAGGGTCCTTGCAACTGCAAGAGTTCATTGTCTGTCGTGTACAGATACATGGCATCGGATGCCCCATAATTTTATTCGAGCAATGCTAAACAATGGAACTGCTAATATTTGCTGCAATAAACTGTGATTTCAAGGGATATTTGTATATCGCATTTCCCAAAGATAGGAAACCCCTACTTATTTGCCAAGGTGATGCACTGGTGCTAGTGCATTGTTGCTCATTCTCATCATTCATACAGAATTCTAAATTTGTTATGCTCCATTTATATTAGATTCTTTCTTCCTTCCCTTTTATCTTTGCTGTATTTATCTTAATTACTGTTTACAGAGTACAGATTAAAATTATGTTTCCACGTTAGGTTCGAGAACACATTGTCTTCAAATATAACAAGTTTGAAGTTTCCATTTTCATGGGGTGAAAGTTTTAGGAATGTTGATGAGTTCATGTCTAAGCAATCACCACAACGAACTCAATTTTAACCATTGACTGTAACTTCCTGCTGGTGATGACAATGTTTCATATTAGTTCCATACTTCCATGGTTTTACAGGGCTTAACATTGAAGGGTTGGCGTAGTCGGTAGTCCTTTCTCATTACGGATGATACCTTTGGGTGAACTGTGAAGTGACGGATTAAGTTTAAGCAAAGTCTAAATATCTATGGTTAATATGTATTCATTGTACTCTATGGGGTTGTTTGGTTACACAAAGAAAATGGAGGAAGTCAAAAATCATGGGAATTTGAAAATGGGTGAGTTGTTTGGTTGACACTAAAAAGTGAAAATGAGGGAATTGCAAATTCATGGGAATTGTGACTTCCCACAAAACATGGGAAGTTGATTACCCAACCCCCCCTAGGTAAGTCAAAATTCCCATGATTTGCAACTTTCTTCATGTCAACCAAACAATTTTAAGCAATTCCCATGAATTTGATGTAGGAAATTAATTCCCATGAAATACAAATTCCTATGGAAAGTAAATTCCCATAGCAACCAAACGACACCTATGTTTAATTGTTTATTACCTCGTAATTATTATGCTAGAAATTGCCTAAGACAATGCCGATTAGACTAGAAGAAGATAAGAGACAGAATCAGAGAAAAGAGACAAAAATTGATGACACAGAAAAATCATAAAAAAAAAAGGGGGGGGGGGTAAAATTATGGATGGCTATGATTTCACCAATCTATGAGTTGGAGATTTTGGATTTTAAAGACTTAAAGTCATAGTGTGTGTTTGTGTATAAATAAATATGAAATAATTGTTGCATCTTAAAAAAAAATATAAATATAAATAAAAATAATAATGGTTAAAGGTTTATAAAGAAACAATTGTTACACCTAAACAATTCAATGTAGATTACTTTGGCAAAGACTAGCATTAATGGACCTGACCAATGACCATAAAGGGTATCGAACAAGTCTGGACTTAAATTCAACAAGACAGACACATCTAATCCAGACAAATCGAAAGTCGCTAGTGGCGAGGCGATCTTTGAATAACAATAAATATTTATGAGAAGCCACCCAAGTAAGAATTAGCCAAACCAAACAACTCGTTTAGTACATTTTCGAACATTTTACAACACTAGGAGCCAATGAAACCAACAAGCTCTCTTAGTAGAACCTTTAATACAAATCCTATTTGAAAGCTCACTTTGCCGATTGAATATGGTAGTAGAACCCTTAATCCAAGTTCTAACTATTATTATGTTGGTTGTGACAATTATCGAACAATTTAAGAAGAAGCCTTTTATTAGCAGCTTGTTACCACAATCCAATTACACACACAACAAAAGATCCATGAATTAAAACCGTTAAACTGGTAGCTATAAGCAGTGGCGATTCCAGGAATTGGTCGTTATGGGTTCGAATCTACTGGAGAATTGGGGATAAGTTAAAACAAAAAAAAAGGAAGGAAAGAAAAGTGTTGGGCTTGGATTTCGAACAGTTGACCTTTGTCAAGAAAACTGAGGCTTTCACCACTACAACGCGCGTTAACATAGTGAAATTATGGACAAACTTTAATATTTAACCTAATTTATTTTCTTTTAAGAAAACCTATTCGACTTTTTTGGATCCAGTATGGGTTCAGCTGAACCCACTGAACCCATACTGGAATCGCCACTGGCTATAAGCTATCAAAAAAAAAAACCAGGGATTAGCAAGTTATTTGATTCAAATTACATTGATTCTTCAAGCTATATATAGTACACACAATTCAACATTATCAATCAAGTAACAACCAACAAAGTTTCTGCACTAATTAACTAAAACATGCATTAGAATTTAGACTGATACATGTAGTTGCTATTTCTTTTTCAGTTCAAAATAACATATTGTATAAAACCACCAAGTAACAAATCGATATTGATTTATCGGACGAATCAAAATTCACCACCAATGATCTCGAACAACAAAACATCTAAGCTTCAAGTGAAAGGTCATTAGGAAACCCATGGGTGGATCTATGTTTAAGGAAATGAGGTCAATTGACTCCATTTTTTTTTTGTAAAGCAAATACTTGACACCGGAAGTGACACATGTCATATTTTGGTGCTGTTTTTTTCCTCCAAAACCCCCCTTCCCCTTTTGACATTTTTTTTGGGGGGTTAATATTTGATTTTAATAATATCGTTCCAAATATTTTATATTATCTATACACAAATACATATTCCTTCTTATTTGATGTCCATAATTATTCTATATACATCTACCTAAATAATTATTTCAACTTCTTTAAAAAAATTATTATTTCAACTCCTTTTTAACTATCCTTTTAAATGGAATATTATTAGATTTTGCCAAAAAAATTATAATAAATTGATTCATATAATATATGTTAAAGAAATTACTTTAAAATATCACTTAATTTTATTTTTTTCAAATACCATTAGCTAATATTTTATTTCAATTTCAATTCAATTCAATAAAACGTTATATTCAAGTTAATTACAATTTTGTTTACGTAATTTTACTACTATATGTACATATTATCACAAATTGATTTATAAAGTATTGTATAGCTATAAAATAAATGATGTGTTTAACAAATGATTTTTTAATATAAAGGTGACATATTATCTGTAATTTTGTGTGTGTTTGCACTTTTGTTAATGATTTTTTGGGAGATTTTAGTTTGGTGTTTGATTGATTTTTATATTTGTTAAAAATGCATTTATAATTAAGTATTCACTAATATATTCACTAGACCTGATCAAGCCCCGCCTGAAAAATTCTGGAGTTCGGGCAGATTAAAAAAAAATAATTTTTAGATAATTTGTTGTTTTACCTATTAATATAAATTATTTTGACATTACAACTTCTATATATTTGATTTGTATGCTTTATCAAATTTTTTTTTTGAATATAATTAATTTGCTAGTCAGTGGCGGAGCCAGGATTTGTAATCTGAGGGGATAAATTTTAGATGTTTAATAAAACCAATAAAAAATTTAAGAAAAAAAGATGCTCACATAAATTGATTAATACAGAGTATATATTTTTGTTATGGAAAAGACAATTATTCTTATATGGCAAAAGAAGAGTTTTTATAAGTTTCATTGCATATTAAGAAATTGGATTTTTTTTTAAAATAACACCACATATTTTGAAAAAAATGGATTATAACACCACTTTTTTTCAAATTTTGATTATAACACCATATAAAACCCCAAAAATTGGATTTCACCACCACTTAACGGATTCTTGGATGAAATCTGTTAGTGGGGCCACAATAGACACGTGTTATAAATTTAGTGGTTTAGAAAATTTTTCACCACGGGCACCAACTACCCAGTCGCCGGCACCCCCTTCCCTAGCCAAAACTGGCGAAACCAGCCCAACTATCCCTACCCCTTTTCCCCCCTCCCCGAAAACCACCCTTTTCCCCCATAATCGAGGCTGCAATCGATGCTAACCACCGCAAATTTCAAACCAAATTTTCGAACATCAACCCCTTCGAACCACTGCATATACCAACCACAATCCACTAGATCGGTACGAATCGTATTTTCGGTGGTTTGGAGGGGTGTGAATTGGTTGTGTGTAGGGCGGAGGTGGTTGTGGGGGTTGCTTGGTGTGAATTTCGTGGTTGGTGCTGGTGGATCTATGAACCAGTGGCGGAGCTATTAAGGGGGCCTAGGTGGCACCGCCCCCCGTTTTTTTTTTATTAATTTATTAAGTTAAAGTTGTAAATTAATAGGTTAAATACAATTTTAATGCAATAAATAACATCAAATTAGTTTTGTCATAATGGTAATGCCACCAAAAGTCTAGGGTTCATATGATGTTATAATTATTAAATAATAACCGTTTAAAACAATATGAAAAAAGATATAAAGGGATTTTAGTTTTTATAAGTTTCATCCACGAATAATGAAATCATTACACTGTGTTTTGTAAAAATAAAATTTTAAATTTAGTTCCAAATAATATAAATAAAAAATTTGATTTTAGACATGTATGAGTTAGGAATCAAACTTATGAACAAGAACAGAAAACAAAGCCTTATCCCAACAACCACTAGACCATTTTATAACTTTATAATATATATTGTTTATGAAATGTATATAAATGTATTTACAGTTTATTTGTATGCTAATGAAAATCAATTATTTTTTTTTAATTTTTTGAAAATGGGGGACAACTGTCCCAATGTTCCTATAGTGGATATGAATAATTTTTCAATATCAATAACTACATATGTCAACAATGTCTAATATAATATATATGTAGTTTCATGTAATTTGTTAATTTATAAATAATTATAACATAATTTATTTAATTTGAATTCAATTGTATAAAATGTTAGATTTGCCACTAAAAAAATCATGATTTATATAAGAATGACATATTATATAGCTATGTTTTAAACCATGAATAACTTTTGAATGTATAAAATTCTTTTATATTTAAAAAAAAATTGAAATTTCACATACATTTTAATTAAAAAGATAGGGTTTAAAATTCTTAAATACAAGATACAAATTGTAACAAAAACACCAACAATATCTAGACATTATAGTTGAAAATCACATCATTTACATTAATTATTTGACTGCTTTAATATTACGAATTCTTTGTTTTCTTGTATTTTTTCATGTTTAAATGGGTTATAATTTTTAAACTTGTAAAACAGACTCATTGAAAAAATGACCAAGATGGGGAAACCTAAGGAAAAACTTTCTTTCCACAAAGACATCCAAGAAGGTGGAGTAAGTTTCAGGTAATTCTCCAAATATCATCTTATAGATAAGTTGTTAAGAAGACTGAATATTTCAGCAGAGAAAAACGATACAAGTAGTACCTGACAAATTGGCAATGGAACAAGCACACATTCTAATGACATTTTCTTGTATCGACTTCAAAGGAATAAACACATTCATCAGCATGGGCGGATAAGTAAAAATGTCTTTAAAAATAGCATGATACAAAGATTGCTTGTATAAACGGTTCCATCAGGGGCGGCTAGGTACGCACATGGCTCAATGAGAAGACAAATGTGAACATACAATTGTCTACCATGCTCGTCGACTTCGAAGCAGGGTAGACCTAAGGGTATAGTCATAGGGGGAATATTGATTAAATGAGAGGTCATGTTGTACGAACAATACCGTTCTTCTTTGAATGTATCAAAACAAAAACATTATTTAGATGTTTCAATTGCAAAAAAATGACCAAATACATCATGTGCTTAAATAACAGTAACCGAACAAGCAACGAAGAAATGAGGAATTGGAAGAGTTCTCCATTCACTAATTTCCGAATCAAAAACCTCAAAAGGAATTTCAGGTTGTGTAGTGAAACCTCTGACTTCAAAGCGAGAGTGAAGGACATATAAATTACCTCCAATCACTTCAACAATAGGACACACTTTAGTAGATTTCATTCTTGGAATAGTAGCATTAGCTAATTTAATTATGATATTCTTAATATCACCATTAGGACCACTAAATTATGGAATTAGCTTATACACCTCTCTCGAGGCATGCATAGAACAATATAGTGACGAAGGATCCTGTAATTCCCCACCAATTAGAAGTATATCTGAATCAGAAGTCGTAGAACACAGAAGCAAAATTGTAGAAGAAGGAAAAAAGCCAGTCTTGAAATTAAATCTGATTAAAACATACCTAAAGGCAGGAAATCAGAGGTGGCGTGAATGTTAGTACTCCACGCCACCTCCACCAGTGGTGGGTCAAACGATAATTCAAAGCACTTCCCACCGTATTTCTCCTCCGTCTTTTTCAAATCGATACAAAATAGATTGAACTTTGAACCCAAAAATACTAACCTCTCTTCTTCGATTTCTCCCTCCATTGTCGTCCTCCTCTTATGGATGTCGCACTCGAGGCCTACCCCTCCACGTCGGCCCTTTATAATCTTAGTAAATAGCATCCCAAGCTAAGGGTAATTGCGGAAGGACCACTGTCCCATGTTCATAAGGAACTGTTCCGTGAATTTTTCACTTTTTAAAGAGTGTAGATTACAAGTATATTTATTATTTATAGTAAATGCCAATCAGTTTACTTAGTTAAGGTTTGAGGGTGACACTTTAAACTTCGAATCAAGTTCTGTCTACATTACTCTTATAGTTCTCAGTTTCTCCACACAAAAAAAAAAATGTTTGTACAATGGCCCAGTATATATCAACAGCCCAAATTGGGCAAATTCAGAGAAAGTGTCAGCCCACTTAAATGAACCTCGCTAATAGGCCCATTGTCTTTACGACATAAAACTCAGCGGTAGAAGAAATTAGAGAGTATAAATACCTCATATTCAATTCAATTTCCAATTAAAATTACTCACTCAACTCTCAACACTGATAGAAAATGGAGGGAAAGCGTTCAACTCCAAAACCCAGCGATTTGCTTTACAAAATCAGAGGTAAATCCCTTCTTAATTCTCATAATCGAAACCCTAATTTTGTACTCCATAATTTGAATTCCAAAATTTCAGTTTATTCATCTTCATCCTCATTTTGTTTTTGATTTTTTGTTGTTGTTGCAGATTTTAGTCGTTCGATTCTCGTAGATATTTGCAATGGACGATCTCCAGTGGTTTCGATCAATAAATTCAGAACTTATTGCACGAATTCCGCTGAAAATTGGTACAACTTCTGAATTTCGTCCTATAATTTTCGATTTAGGTTTCAATTTTTGTGGAATTAGAATTTTAGAAATATATGTTGTTGATTGAGCTTATACTTGTATGAATTGGTGCTTGCGATTTGGACATTATGCTAGATACGAGAATATGATTTGGATTTGTAGAGAATTTGACTAAATGCAGCTTGATTCAACACGCTGATGGATGCGGTCTGGTTTTATTTTAATTTTTCATGCAATTTTTGATTTATTTTTTGCATTATTGATTTAATTACTCGTTTTTCGGAGTTTTTTTTTATTTAGAAACAATTTGGAAGGTTGATCTTGTGCTTGTATTCATGAAAGTTTGACATAGTGCAACTTGATTAGGTATGCTAATGGATTTGATTCGGTTTCTTTTTAATTTATTTTTTTATTCATTATTGTGTAAGTTTCGAATTATTCAATTATATGTTGATTTATAAGTACATGTAATTGATAGTTGAGTTGATATCCATGTGAATATATGCCTTTCTTCGGAGATTCTAGTTTCATGCACAATGCTGAAGACCAAGCTTGTGTTTCCTTTTAAGATACGTTGACAATTTACAACTTGATTGGACTTGCTGATTTATTTATGATTTCAAAGCTGTATTTAGTAGTATACTAGTGATTTTGACTTCAATTAAATTGTTATAACTCCGTATATGTTCTAATTTTTGAAACAATGGAACTTTATGTCATGTACACGAGGAGTTTATATAAGGCTGATGAGATTTTTTTTTTTAAATCAATCTGGATGTTTTTAGAAATTACTTGTACATTGTTCTTTGTGGTCTTACCTAGTAAAAACACTGTAGCACAATTATATTTTGCTGTTCTGTGGAAACTGCGCATATGAGAGCAACTGAAACTTCATGTTTTGAGTAGAACCATGTACTGAACAAGCTCTTTGTAAAATAAGTTCTGGCATTGTGGTTTTGAACACGACTGAAGCTAGAAATTATGTATTTTATCTAATGAATTGGAAGCGGATTTAGGGTTCTCTTTATCCAAGAAATATTAAGATCTTTTTAAGTTTCATGGTATCTTAAAAATTAGTTGTCAATCATATGCTCTTGGAGTCACTTAACTGACTATTATTTCACACTAAATATTTTCCGTGGTGGAGGATGTGCATTTTTCATGATGCTTTCATGTTTATGTTATTTCTATTGCTGTATGCAGTTTATGCAGCTCCAATTTGCCAGTAGGAACAGAGGTACTTACCTTGCGAAGGCAACCACATGCTCACAGGATAGGTAACCTTTATTCTCAGAACATAATAGTCTTATTGCTTACAGATGTTTTGTTACAATTATTATCGGACTCTGCTTCACATTCCATTCATCTATTTCACTTTACTTTTCCACCAGATGTTTTGCTAAGGGTGTTGCTAATAGTTCAGAAGCTTCTACAAGAAAACAAACATGCTTCAAAACGAGATATATATTATACTTATCCATCTTTATTTTCAGGTGTGCTTCCAGTATGAAAACTTAATATAGAATTGCTGAGGCTGCTGTGGTTTTTACTAATATATTTTATTCAAAGATGCTTCTACCACCAGTCTGGTAACTGAATCATTCTTTTCTCCAGTATTGGAGTGCACACTCGTTTAGAATTTCAGCTATCTCTTTCCCTTGAAATACTATAGACCTGGTTTTATAAATGCAGTAGACAATTCTTATTAATGATTATCTTCAAATCTCTCCACTTGTGTTGTTTCTCTTTTAATTTCATTGGAAAGCTGGAAGCTAAGGGTCACTATTCTTAATAAGATACTTCTATTGTCTGTGCAGATCAGTCTATTGTAGATCGTGCCATAAATGATATATGCATACTCCTTGAGTGTAGTCGCCACAATTTAAATGTAGTGAGTATACCTCGTTTTCTTCTTTCGTCAATATATTTCTCTTTTCAGATATGGCTCAGCTACTCCTATAACTTGGATATAGAAGCTACTGTAGACCAACTTTAAAACAAAGCGGCTAAATTTTATGACTTGAAATTATCAATATTGTAGACGATTATGTTTGCAGGAATTATATTGTGTACTGTGGTATCATGGCACTCATTCACTGTTGTATTTTTTCTCTGATATCACTCTGTGCATGTCTGTTTCTAGTGGCTTATAGCTGATATGTATTAGTTGATTACATTATCTTTGGTACCATGGCTTCACGCTGCTCATCCACAATAACTTTTGATTTGTGTTCTTTGTCAGTGAGAAGTGACTTGTACATTCCAAGTCTTTAGAATAACTCATAATTCTATTATCCCTTGTCTTGCAGGTATCTGTCGCAAAAGGGTAAGTTTAATCTATAATTTAAACCGGATATCTTCCTTTTTATTGCTTATTACTCAATTTCCACTTTTCCTCCTCTCTTTCATGGCGGAGTTATTCTGCGCCGCTGCAGCATTGAAAATACTGACAATCACTTAAGAAGTGCAATCTTGCTTTATTCCTTAGTTCTTGGCATCATTCCTAATCCAATATTAATGGGCTGGTAAAAAACACCTAAGATCAATGCGCTGACAAATAGTTACATAGACATCCTTAATTTTGACATCTGCTGGCATCAAGACATTAGTTTCTTCTTCCAAAGTATAAGTCATGCTAATAGCATTTTGTGAACTTTAATAGCATGTTCATCTTAACTCGTTCTTAGGTTGGTGATGGGCTGGATTAGGTTTTCTGAAGACGGAAAGAAGTTTGATTGCATAACTAATCCTAATATTGTAAGTGTCCTTGCCTCCTTGGTATACTATGTCATTTCATGGAATAAAGATTTATATTCATATGCAAATCTTGTTTTGCTTCAGGCTCAACCTGTTCCTGTCCAAGCTGAAGATGTTCATGATATCCATAAATGCAATATCTTAGCTATGAGTTGAATATTGACATGATGATATGCATGTTTCCATTAGATGCTGGCCTGTTTAATCAATCTTTTGGCAGAATATATAAGTGTGCTAAATAGTAAGATTTTTCTTGACTATTGGATTAGATATTCTTAGTTTTGCTGAATACATCTTAGTTGTTGAGAAGGAGTCAGGTAATATTCTTCCGTGATAAACTCTGGGGTACTCATCCTTGTGATAATAAATGAACCTTTCTTCCAGTTTTCCAGAGACTGGTGAATGATAAGTTTTGCAGCCACAATCGATGCATTGTCATTACAGTAAGTTGGGAATGAAGTAAGCTCATGTTTTTATTTCTTCTAAGGGTTAGTTTTTAATTGTAGCTGTTGCAGGGGCGTGGATACCCAGATGTTCCTACAAGAAGGTATCTTTTAGCCTTTTGATAGTGTGCAATGTTAAAAATGATTTGTCAGTTTCTGATTTAAGTTCTATGATTTATTTTCTCGTTTGATGATGCCACTCATCGGTTTTTCATGATATGCATGAATTTACTCATCCTTCAGATTTTTGCGCCTCCTTACTGAGAAGCTGCACGTTCCTATATATTGCTTGGTGGATTCTGATCCATATGGGTTTGACATCTTGGCCACTTATCGATTTGGCTCACTGGTTAGTAACTTCTATAGCTGGTGCCAATTGCTTTTATGTGGTGCATGTGGCAATAAGGCATAGTGGTATTTGCAAAATATTATGTTAATTGCCTATTCTAATTGCACTTTTGTGGTCAAATAGTCTTGATTGATTCATTCCTTTTTAAATTGTAAACATTTCTATTTGATTTCCTAGGAAATGGCGTATGATGTGGAATTTCTTTGCGTACCGGATATCTGCTGGCTTGGTGTTTTTACATCTGATTATGAAAATTATGCTTTTCCTTCACAGTGTCTCCTTCCCTTGACTACTGAAGGTAAATAGAAAACATATGTTTTATACAATCAAGTAGTAAGACTTCCCAAAATTTATTTATTTATTATTTATTTATTTTCCTGTTTTTTTAATCTATATGCAGAATACTTTAACTTTCCTGCTTCTTTCGTTCCATTAGATAAGAAGAAAATTGAAGCACTGTTACATAGGTGTTACCTGCAGCATGAGGAGCCACATTGGAGGTATCTTTCACCACTTAGTCTAAGCTGTTGTAATTTTTCATTAATATGTCTCAGTGTTTGATGACTTCTTTTTCCTCTCTTTTGCCATTTAAGACTGGAACTAGAGAGGATGCAGGATAAAGGTGTAAAGTTTGAGGTTGAAGCATTGTCTGTCCACTCACTTTCCTTCTTGTCAAAGGAGTACTTGCCATCAAAAATCCAATGTAAGAGCGCCTGTTCTAATTTGTTAGATTATATGCTAGCATTTGCAGATGCTTAAGTATTAGGTGTTACATTTAAGTTGATGGGCTATGTTGTTACTTACCTGTACTGTTTTTTGCTTGATGGAACTAAGAAATACTTCGTGCATGTAACTAATGAACTTGGAGATATGTTATTGTACAAGTTCCTCCATCTAAAAAGGGGGTATAAAATGCACATATCGTCTACATTACAGATCTCCTTTGATATATTATTCCGTGGAGGGCTGATGATATTTTTTGCTTTCTTGTTGTGATTTGGGCATTGAGTTGTAACTGAGTTATTAATATTGAGGGACTGCATGCTGCACAAATCATAATGAAAATAAATTGTTGGCGTCCATGTCATGTTGGAATGATAGCTGAGGAAGTTTGCTAATAATATATTTGTTACTCCTCTATCCAGCAAATTGATATGTTTCAAATTTTATTTTATTTGGCAGAGTGTTGTTTGGGTGGATGGATTCAGTGCGCAAGTGAAGCTTTTGCCTTATGTTATTATTCTTTTTTCTTTTTTCCTTTTCTTTTTCTAAGTTTCATATCTTGCATTACTTTGAATTTTTTTTTGTCTGAAATCATTACCACTATGTTTGGATATAGAGAAATGGCAGGAGGAGAAGAGAAGAGAAAAGGAAGGATGCATCATCCTTTATTTGGATAGCTAATGCAGGGAGATAAGGGGAGGGAATTGGAAGGATCCATTTTCCTTCCCCTTTTAATAAACCAAATCTCTCCATTGTTGGAGAGATTTAGACGGAAAATGGAAGCTCCCTTCTCCCTCCCCCTCACCTCCCTTTCCCTTCCCTCTTTTTCCTTCTCCTCCCTTTTCCTTCACTATTGTTATCCAAACATAGTGTAAGGCTTTGAAACCAAAATCTAAAGATGGCAGGATTTGTACAACCTTTGTTTCATATTATTTGCGATGTTTGTCACAAATGAATGTTTCACATTATTTGCAACAAATGGTTTTTTTTTTTTTCCTCCTTTTTTAGTTGTGATTTCTATCTATCTCTTTCCTCATCACATGCATCTCTATCTTTCTCTCTCCATTTAACATATACAAACTAATTTAGCCTAGGAGTCCTTGCAAACTCATTTGTTGCAAACAATATGATACAAAGGTAGTATTTTTTATGGTTGTCAAGAAAGAGTGGGTCTCTTTTTTAATTTAAACATATATTTTTCTGGAAAAACTGCATCATGTATACTTCTGAAACTTCTTGCATTCTGTAGCAACAGCAGGGTTTCATTTACATAGAGATATCTTAAGTGTGCTGTTCTATAATACTAATAGCTTCATCTGTTATTATTATTTCTTGACTTCCGCTGAGATGAACTTCTATTCTGCCAAAAATTGATCTGGTTAATCCATATTTGTTCATTGATGTATTTGTGGATCATTATGATTAGTTTGTGGGAGTTAGATTTAAATTTTCCATGATTTAATTATGTTCACTAGTATTTTCTATTGCTTAAAGACTAAACTGTAACATTCCGGTGGTTATAAGGACTTGTTTATTCATGGATCCCACATAATAATGAGGTTTAATGCCAAATTAAAGAAAGAGACAAACTATGTTACTGTGCTGATGGACATCACTGGTTGATAGGTTTAAAAAGCTTTCTCTGTTGTCTATTATATTGCTTTCAGGAACAGTGTTATTTAGGTCTTACTTTCAGTGGAAAATTCTTCCCCAGCTAAATGTATTTTTGTTTAGTTTTGTTTATACTGCATAATTATTAACTTATTAACTGCTCATGGAATGTACTTAATGGTTCTCTTTATTTTGAGTTTCCCCCCTAAATTCTCCTCTTTCTCACAGGCATGTCCCAAATGTCTCGTTTGATGTCGTTTTGATGGACTATTTTTCCTTGTCTCCAGTTCCGTTACAAACAGGTACAGGTGGTCTTGCCATGTAACTAAAATAAGCATTAATTTGAAGGGGATATCCCATTGTCTTCTACATTGTTGAATTGCAGTCATGCATAGAATAGACATGAGTCTGAATCATATTTAGATTGACTTAACCGTTAACACAGGGACCCAGTGTGGAAGAACTTGGATTAAAAAACTACAGAAGATGCTGAAAATGAAACCAATTGAGGATTTATCCAGACAAGTATAAAGATGTGATGGATTCTTCAGCCACCTGTGCTTTACTAAGTAAGTAGACGAAGAAGATCTATCTCTTTCATCATCTCAGCAATTAATGCTTCATGTGCTGCATAAATTGTTTTGTTTTCCTCCAAGAACCAAACTTCCTAGGCAAATTTGTCGACCTGCTTGTGTTTCATTTCACATAATTAATGCTATATTGTTTCATGTTATGTTGTCTAAAATACACATGCTATAGGTGTCAATACATAGGTTAAGATACTTGCCATATTTGTCTAGTGTTGTTAGTAGTTTGAAAACATGCTTAAGAGCGTACACTTTAGAGTCTAGAAGTCTAATAATTTTCTAGGGAGAATTACATTGAAAGAGGTAATAGTGGCTTCTTCTAAGCTTGCTGACTGAATAGAGGTCCAAATATATTTTGGATAGCACATTATTTTTCCCGTCTCTTATTGTAAAGTTGATGACGTGTTCTGGGTCCATGAAGCTATTTACTATCTATCTTTTCTTTTTTCTTCAACCCATTCATAATATATGTGAGGGTCAGCAGTTCTATTTGTGGCGTCTTGTTTGAAGTTGTGGAAGAGCCATATTTGATTATGCCCTAATCATTGAGTTCTTTGGACTTGAGCCTAACATAAGTTGCAATCAGGTAACTGTTAGTAGGCCAGTGTATGGGCACAGAATTGTGGAGATTCATTAGATTTCAGCTTGTAGGGTGACCCAGGATAGTGTGGGTACTTATTGAAGGGGATTCAGTGAATCCTCTCTAGTAGTCTCATCTGACTAGAGACGAGAGTGAGACTGATAGTTGGGGATGAGGTAGCTTATATTTGAACCTTCTATAGTTCTATAACCTTTTCAATGGCCGGACACAAACTAGGGCAGTATTGCAGTAGTAGTTGTAGTTAGTGATTACTAAAGGGTGTTTCATGGAGAAAGTAATAATTAATCTTGTTTGGACTTATTAATCCTTACTAGACAATTAGAACTTACTATTCTAGAAATAAGGGGAAATAAGAATAGAATAGGAACTTAGTCTTGTTTATTACACGGGTAGCTATGTTGATGATATTATATTGAGAAAGTTATACGATGTAGAGCACTAAAGATGTGTATCTGTATATTCACTAAAAAAATATTTTTGTTTGTATCTCATAGTAATTTTTGGCTTCTACAACACTAGACCTAAAAACAAGCTATGTGAGAATGACATTACCGACGTGCATTAGAGATCATGAAAAAAACCAGTTCCGTAAAAAACCAAAGACTTGACTATTTTCAGGGAGTTAAATTTTTGGACCCTAAATGATTTTAAGTTCTATGACACTATTTTTCTAGCAATATATATTAAGTAAAAAATTTATACTATTGTAAGTATTTGTGAAAATAGTGATTAATGTTGCCTCAGCATACTTGAATTCCATTGTAACCACGTGTAGCTCGCATGATGTGCTGATGTCCTTGATTGTCCTTGATTTCCATTGTAGAAGTGGGTCAATTATTTTACAATCATTTTTTTCCTTGTCTCCCAATCATGATGGTCAATGCCAAGAATCATATCCAAAATCATCTTCTAGACTAGACGTCTACCAAGTACCAAATCACTTAACCTTGTAGGAGGAATTCAATAATTAGTGCGAACGGCATCTGTACCCTTTCCCCGACGGCAAAAGGAAGGAAACTGTATAGTATTACAACAGTAAACATGATTTTGATAAACTGTTTCTAGTTTTACTTTTTTTATGATCCAGAAAGCTTGGAGCATGTTGATTTGTTTTCTTCTGTTCTTGATGTGAATAAGAACTTGGATTTTTTTTACTTTTTACTGTATTTAGTTGGATTATATTATTCCTATTTGTGTCTGGTTACTTTATGATTATCTAAGATTTGGCTTTGATACTTGTTTATACTTATTTTATGGGTGCGTTATTGACCTTGTATTTGATACAAGTATAATAGAGTAATAGACTATGTTGTTTGGACTTGGGTGCCTATGTCCAACATTTTGTAAAATCTTTTCTTAATTTTGTTAAAAATGTGTCAAGCTGTCAAAGTATCCTACCCATCCAAGGGTCAAGTGTCAAGTGTCAAGTGTCAAATATAAGTACTTGAAATAAAGTGAAGAGTGTGAGTAACAGACGTAAGATAGCAAACAAAAAGGCGCGTCTTGTGCCTAGTCTTCAAGGAGTTTTCCAATTTGGTACATTTTATAAGCCTATCTATGAAAGAAAAGAAATTATAAAATATTTGCATCACTGCATGCACCTTGTTTCTTGTATTCTAGTAAAAGGTTAAGAATATAAAACTCAAAATCTCTCTTTTAATTTCATTTTCCAAGTTGTTGGAGTTGGTTTAATTTTTTTTTTTTTTAACCTATAATCTTTATATTAATTTACTTTGACTCCTCATTTAATCTTTTTATTAACACGGATTTGGAATCCTTACTCACATAATCACTTAAGAAATGTAGCAATAAAAGGAAGGAAAAGAAGAATATGTGCTATTTGTGCTCACAAATAGGTTTAAGATGAGCATTTTAACAAGAATTTACAATTAAAAAGTCCATTTAAAATGTTTGTTTATGTATTTCTATGTCAAAATTCATGCAATAACTCATCTTAAAACAGGATTAAATTCCACGTATTCTTTGTTGAATCCGTTTCTAAATTTAAGGTAGTATTTTTCATGTTTGAAATTTCTTATTTTTACATGTTGGATACTTAGATTTGTACACTCAACTCAAGTAACATAGCTAGTAGTTGAGTTAGAATTTGGGTTTGGTAATGTTGCCGTTTCCTAAAAATTAGGTTCTTCTCTAAAATAGTCTCAAAAAACCTTCAATTATGACACAAATTAGCAAACAAAAATAGTCTTCCTAGCTGTTCATCTACAAAATCCCCTCGTGCCATTTTATGGAGAGATCATGTTATAACTCCTACACCAAGGTCACCATCCATAATAAAATTGAAATATCTATTAATCACTGAAACAACTCAAACAGGTTATGAGCTGAGTAAACAGTCTGGTGAAATTATTAAATTCTTATAAATCATCATATATAGTTTGACAATGTTGACACTATGATTGAACTTGGTTGTATTATGGGTATATAGTATTTCTAATGATTTGGACGTGGTTTTAATCACTCAGTATATAAACTGCCCTTGTGTCTGAAGATTAACTAAGCCATGTCACTCACTGCTATCGTGGCTCATATTACTTCAGGATTTTCAATTGTACAATGATATACATTATATTATAATCATAATAAGCGACATTAATATAATTTAATCGTATCTATGTAATATTTTAATTAAATGACGTATGGAATTTATGTTATCAGCAGCCATTATTTCTCTTTCCCAACCATGACTTGAACATGTGGACTAATAGATTCTGACTAGCAATTTAGATTGTTGAAATCTTAGTATCACGTATCTTTAATTGTTTTTTACAGCTGGTTGACATTTATCATTTAGTATATTTAATGGTTGCATGTTTTTGCAAACTTTTGTGTGATTTGTGCTTGCAAATGAAAATTGAGTTCGTGTTTGACTTAAAGTAGCAATCATTTGTACTTTTTTGGCTATGAACGTATGATTGATTTTAGGATAGATTTTGAAGCATTAAATTAAAAGCCAACTATACCCAAAAAATTGGTACATCCCAAGTGTGCATCACACATTCACACATGAATTGTAGCATTATGCTTTTATGTAACATAAAGCCTTGTTTATATTTAGTAAGGCTTTCACATATCTAGAATTGAAATTTGTCAACATGATTCAATTGCTGAAATTTGCAAGACTAACTTGTGTTACTGAGCTAAAAAAGGATAAAAACTACTAAAAAAACTTATATAGGTGAAAAAAAATAAGGAGGGACAATTAATAAAGTCGAGGGATTAACATGACTTGGCTTGACCAGCCTTAGCCTCATGACTTGTGATAGTTTGGCATTTCTGGAGGGGTTAAGGTTAGGGAGACAAGCCACATTGGTTTTCATTTTTTTTATTTATATTTGAACTATTGTCACATTATATTAGAATTTTAAAAAGATGAGTCAAAAGCACCTAAAAAATGACTACACTTCACATTGATTATACTACTTTATTTTCTCAAAATTCAGATAAATAGACAAGTGATAAAATATTAAATAAAGATCTAAAAAGTGTGATTTAGTTTGGAAAAAGGCCAAAAAAGATATTTTTATTTTGAAACTAAGGCCAAAAAAAGATATTTGGACAATCATATTAAAATCAATTGCATAATTGATGTATTATATGGAACACTCTTATATTTCTATTCCAGATCCACAAAAATATCATTAATATCATATAGCAAGAGATTTGTTAAAGTATGAGAAATGTTTCCCAGAATTACTGATTAAATATCAATTATTAGAAATACTCCCCTGTCATTAATGAGATTTCTACTTGGGGAAAAACGGGAATAACTATCTTCAAAAATCTTTTTTGAAGTTGGAGTAGCATTATTCTTTTTGTCTGTATGACCAAAAAATCCTTTTAATGCATGCATTGAAGACTATTGTTGCATATTAGAGGAGAGGAGAGATAGTTACTAACTTATCACCTTGAGTCTTCTTTGCCAATTGGATTTGGGTAGGAACCTCAGTTAGTCTTCCATGGGTAGTCAACACACATTTAAATCTTTTTACCAAATGTGATTGTTGGGAATTATACTAGCGGTTAACATGCGATTGTTGGGAATTTCCCTCGTGTGTGTTGGGGGGGAGGGTGGGGGGTGGAATCCAAATCGGACGAAGTATATGACTATATAAGTAGGTTGAATGGTTGATTTAAAATGACTACCATTATACTTATATAGTAATATGTTATATTTTGATTTATTTTTTAATGTCAAATTCATTATAAATCATTTATCTAAATTTTAAAATTCATTTGTTTGATTTTTAATTTTTTTCCCTAATTAATTTACAAAATTTAGTTTTTATAATAACTAGAATTAAAAAAATAGTTCATAAATTAATTATCAAAATATAAAAAAATATTAAAAATAAGAAAAAACATTCATAATTAATTTTGACATAAAAAAATAAATCAAAATTAACCAATAAAAAATTAGTATAATCATAAAATTTTCATTTTTCAATATAAGTGCCTGAAATCTGTGCATAGTGTGCTACTCTGCCTATCTTTGTTTGGTTGGGTTTATTGTATGTCTGATAAAGATGTATGTAGCATTTCCCATGAAGGGATTAATCACAGAGGCATATTGTTCATCATTCCTTCTATTAAATCTGAAAACATCATGGAAAATGGGGCTTAGTGCCATGAGGATATTCAATTTATTAAATATACGATGTCCATCTAATGTCTTTACCAAGATAACTCATTTTCTTTTGCTTGGTTTGTGTCAATTTTTTTAACTTTTGAACATTCCAATGTCCTATTATGGAGTATATTGTAGTTTTGGGACTGCCTTTCTCTTTGTTCTTTTTGTACAAACTTGAATGTCTCAAGAAGACAAGAAAACTAATAAGGGAAGATTTGTCTATGATAATAGTGTACTACACAAACCAAGATATATCTACAACATAATTATGGTATTTGCTAACATCTATGGTCTAAAGTAAAGCGTGATTGAAGATGAAAAAAAAGCATCTATGTCTATACTCTATAACATATGGAGGATAACAGAAGAGGAAAAGAAAGTTATGTTACAATGAAGTCATGTATTAATCTCTAATCAGTTTAAACAACTATAAGTTGTCTTTGGGCTTCGATTCTGAGATCTTCCTTCATCTTTCTAATGAAGTCATCAAACTTTCTGTTTAATTCCTCTGTACTCATCTGGGCAATTGCTTCCTCTTCTTGTTCTGTTTCTCCTTGCTCTGCATAGTACTCATATTTGTCCTCTTCTTGCTCTGCATAATACTCATAATTGTCCTCTTGCTCTGCATAATACTTGTAATTGTCCTCTTCTTGCTCTTCATAAGACCAACTGTCAGAATGTTCTTTCTTGTTTTCTTTGTTATCATTAATGATAACATCTTCATACTTTTCTTCTTCCACTTCTTCCCATATTGTTCCATCTGTGATCTGATACACAACATGTTTTTCCTCTACATCTTCATTTGGCATGATTTCATTTTCTTCTAATTCATTTTCATTCTCATCTTCATTGGTGGCGGCATCCTCCACCAAGAGAGAGTTCCCTATCGAGGATTGCATAGTCTGACTGTATGCCTTGTAATACAAGTCATTATCAGGACTTGTCTCAGGCAGGGGTGGTGAGCTAGTATCGACAGAGCCACTTGAGTATTTTGCAATGAAAACCAGTATTCCATTACATAACAGGAATATGTAGTTCTTATCAGCTGCAAGGGAAAAGAGCTGACATGAGAATGTAGATAAGTGGGAGATGAGAGAATGGAAGAAGGGAGGCCGAGATGGGTGCAAAAATAATAAGGCGAAAACAGAGAAGGTCATAGAAAATGGGATGAGCATCTTAAGAAACTGGTAATATATGGGAGATTGGTGCTTGTTTTGAAGCTTTTGTTGATACATTGTTTTTGTATCTATTTTTGGTGTCATACGATATAAGAGGGAAAACTTTCTGGATGCTATCTGAACTTCAAAGATTGATTGTAGACCTTGAGGATTTAGTAACTTCCCTTATATAGGGGGATCAAAACACCTGGGATTTGTGTGATTTGGCATAATTGCCCTTGGGTATTAATGTGATATTGTGATGTGGAGGCTACTGAAGACTCCTTCAAAGTAAGAGTACCTCTTTCTTTGATTTGTGTGATGTAAGATTTGTGTGTCATATGATGTGGGGCATATTGTACTCCTATTAACACAATATATTGTCTACAGTTTATGTGTCATCACCCCTTCTGGTATAAGTTACCTTCATGTTTAGTGTTTACTGCCCTCAAGGGGAGTTGCTTTGTGGGTACATGATTGAAGCTAGCCATTTATTTTGGACCAAGAATTCTGAGACAGAGAGATCCTTTGAGGGGGAACAGTTCTAGCAATTAAGGTCCGGCGTATTAAATAGGGTTATTATTCTTTCGTAATCCTAAGTTTTATGTATAAGCATTCAGGATTTATTACTTAAAAATTCATTTAAAAAAAAAAAAAAAAACAAACAAACAAAAAACCACCTATTGGTCGGGGAAATCAATACTAGTAATTAAAATTTTACTCTTATCTTGTTATATAAAAAAAAATCTAAGAATTATGTTTAGCATCAAGAAGTTACTGTGCTCTCTCTCTTCCTGTCTTATTTTGCCCCTCTTCATGTCACCTTAGGAGGCTTTGCCAACATCCGGAAGGTTGGGGATATTTAGCTGCCTTTCAGGTAAAGGGACGCGTAAATGCAATTTTTGATGGATTAATCTCCCTTTTTTCTTACTTCACCTTGAAATTTAGGAGCTAAAATCCAAGTTCACATTTTAAGCACTCATTCATATAGAAGTTTGTTATTCTTATAGTGGAAGATGACCATCCTTCTTCCTCAATTACACGACTTCTATTTTTATATTAAATCTCTTGTTATATTATATTACCCAAAATTGCTCATATTTTCTTGTTAGTATTGTTTATAGTCCAATTCCAATATACTAGTTCTAGTTGCATATACAATCATGTATTGTATAATTACTCACTTAATGAAGGGTAGATCAATACTTCATTCTATAATAACTCCAAGCTTGTGATTATGTTAGGAATGACAATTGGCCCAGCTGAATTCTAGAGTGAGGTTTTGTGTAGGAGGGCATTAACCTGCTTGGTGTGTACTTGAAACTTGAAAGGTTGTTGTAGAAACCCGGGATTATGTATATTCTCTATTCGGATTTAATTGACATATGTGGAATAGTTTTAAGATGTTAAAAAAAGCTATTATATTTTCTAATACCCCTAACTAAGGTGGGATAATGATAGAAATAATACCCCAACTAATATTATAAACGTCTTTTTGTGAAATCATTGTCATATCATATTCTTACATGAGTAAATATTATACAATATTATAGTTAGAAAATCTTATTTAGGATTGTAATAAAAAATTATATATGATCTTATTTAGGATTGTACATATTATACAATATAATTATACAATATTATATATGATGTTTCATGCTTGCCTAAGTTGCTCCTCTCAATGATACCCCAAGCGCTCAAAATCTCTTCTGCTATGCAAATTGCAATCCCTAAAAATACTAATGTTAACAAGTCTCTCTCTGGGTAAATAAATTGATTAGTTTTGGCTTCTAGTTACATTAATTATGATGCATTAACATCTTGATTTCATGCACTTCCAACTTGAAGTTAGGCATTGCATTGCATCCACACTATAATGCTAAACGTACAATAAAATAAATTGACAATTCCTAACCAAATTTTTCTCTTGTTGGCTATCATGTAATCATGTATTCAATTGCATACTTATTTAGTATTGACTCACAGTTGCATGGGTCCACATGAGTTCTTAGGTATCAATATGATTTATCTAAAATAAGGGTGCATGAATTTCTTTCATTTTTTAAATGGTGATAATCAATCTAGCTACTTTTATTTTATCTCCTAGAATTGGCAAACGTATCAATCTTCATATACTAGTAGAATTTGATTTGTAAAAATCTTCCATCTCCATTCTTATCCACCAGATTATATAATTTTGTAGGCCTCTTGCACATGGTATGTTTCATGCTATATTGCTATTTTATGCCATGTCCATTTGTATATTTATATACTTGTCGTAATTTTAACCGTTTGCTTCTTTCTGAATAATAGTAGAACACTTGATTCAATTCATGCATAAAGACTCGTTTGTTTAAGCTTAGAATCTCAAACCATTTTCTTTTTTATTAATCACTTCCTTAGCATCAATGTCTTAATTTGCGATGATTTATATGCAAGTGTACAATAGCATTAATTTGCATGGTTTGGATCATTGTTAGCAAAATATTAGGAAACACTGCTCCCAAAGCCGCCATCCCTAGAATTCGTAGTGGGCGGTGTTGCTGTGATCACTTCGTTACCAACTAGTGATAACAAAGTACATAGAATTACCTACCATTGACTTTGCACATTATATGATAGGAATGAGATTTGAAATGTTAGTTCTAGTGATTGTGGCATCTCATAAAAAACATTCTGCTAGGACCATGGCATTATGTAATGGCAACAGATAGCCAACTAGCCATCCTTTCAACCCAAAAATATAAGCAATTTATAGCCAGACCAAAGTAAGGAACTAGTAATTTTTAAGAGCTTTTTTGGTATTGTGGAGATTATACTGCTTTAGTATTCATTTTTCAAAAGCCAGCAACTGTTAGTGGGTATTTTGTTTTTCGTAGAATGAGAGGATGAGAGTAAAATAGTGGTAGTATCGAATGCTTTTGGATTTATGGCCTTTGGATTTTGGGTGAATCTTTAATTTGAGCCCACATAAACTAAAACTATAGTTTTGCCGCCTGCATTTCTTCTCCATTAGTTTATTGCTTTATTATTGTAACACCATGTGAATTCTTGTCCAATTTCCACCAACTTTTTCCTCCCTTATTAGTACGGAGTATTTCCCTTAATTTACTATCTTTGGGCAAAATTGCCAGTAACCCAATTACAGTTACCTAAAAGAAACGATGGTGGGAAAAAGTTTTTGTTTTGTTTTTATTATTAAAATGTTGTTATTTATTTGTTTGTTTTCTTATGCTGTCATCGCTTTTTTTTTTTTTTTATTAATTTATTTATTTATTTTTTTTTTTATTTTACATTTGTATGTGGCCACTGGCCAATGTGTGCGTGTGTGTTTTTTTTTATAACTTTGATCATTTAATTCGTTCACAAATTATTAAGTACAGTAAGAAATTACCATCGAATTGGGTGTTTTGTCTAATCTCGGAGATAAATTTATAGTTGTTTGGGGAGAGGGTGTCCTCTGTCCAGTATCCTTGGTTAAGTTTTATACAGTACTTTTTTGGTTTCCAATATCAGACTGGTTTAGACTCTAGAAACTGTGAAAGTTTGGAATTTGTCATTTGTGTGAAGAAACATTCATGGTCACAAACTCACAGTACAACTGTTATAATTGTACTTTTCTTGTCAAATTAGGAATAAGTGCTCTTACGCTGCATGGAAGTTGCACCTTTTAGCTCATTATTATTTGCTTCTTTTACACCATTTCTTTTCTAGGAAGTTCATGATTTATGTGGTTGTAGTTGTTGCCTGATTCTGAGTATGATTAAGGTGTTATATTAACAGAAAAACAACACATATAGCTCACCTTTAGGAAACTAGTAATACTTTATATGATGTATAATACTACCTCCGTTAACTTTTATTTGCAACCTTGGAATATTTTATATCTCACAAATAATACCCCAAAGTTGCAAATAAAAGTTAACGGAGGTAGTATACTACAAAAAAACTCCTTCACAATCTACTAGCTAAAGAATACTCTTTAAATTTCCCTTCCTTTCTCCCCAACTTCATACTAAGTTGTCTGAAACTGTGGGCAACCCGGACCAAATGACTGAGTGACCTCCTTACAGGACTTAAAAGACATGCTAGAGAGCACCACTTATGTTTTATTACCTATATATATAAGACAGTCCCCCCTCCGTCTAGATATAATTGTCACGTTGGTATGGTAATTCGCATTAGTGTCATGAGTTGTGACAACTAAATCTAGACGGAGGTAGTAGTATATATTTCTTAAACGTTAACAGGCCTTGTAAGTCCCCATATTATCTAGGCAACTCCAGTTCTTAAAGGCCTTTCAGAAGCACCATGTTGAATAACTGAATGATTCAGAGCTGGTCAGGCCAGAGGAATGCTCCCATAGCAAACTTCCTCTTCGTGTCAAGGGAACCCTTGACGTGATGACCAAGACCATACTGATTCAACAGCATGTCCACCTTCCATTCCTCCATATTCTCATAGTCCGCCTTTTTGTATCGTGGGTAATGGAGAGGCATTTGGAAGGTGCTAACACCAGTCTCTTTGGCCTGTAAGTTAACTTTCTCGGTAGTTAGGCCTTGTTTCTGATCAGGTACGTGTACAAGTGTGTGAGTGAAGACAGAATTTAAGAGCCACTTCAAAGCCATACTTTGAGAAAGGAGGGAAATTTTAGGGGATTTGTGATTTTAGAAAGAGTGTTTTAAACCAAAGAAGGTGAAGAAAGTATCCCCTTTTTATAATGAACTTAGGTAGATTGCTTATACGCATCAAAATCTATTAATACTAATTTATATACTATTATATTGTTGGATTGAAAATGAATGAAAACAGTTTCCTATTTTTATTGCTGAACTTGTGTTGTAAGAAATATCATTTGTAAGGGCATTAAGGTTGCCAGCAAGTTAGAGCATTGCATTATTAGAAACTGATTGCAGTTTTAATTGACACTTGTGATATACAGTCACTAATTTGATTAGTTCACTAAATAGAATAACATAACCATTTGATTTTTCAAGTCCTTCCAAATATTTATTGATGGCCTTTTTTATTCTTTCTTTATGTATTTGTATGCAGGGCATGATTGGATTGCAGGTTTTTGTTCGCGTCAAGAATTACAACTCCTGTATAATATGTTATCCTCATCTTCCGCCTGGAACTAATTGTCAACCTAGTACTGTTGTGAAATCTAAACTAGTAACGTGACAACTTTTTGATCAGATTTGTTACGTACCTCTTGTTAAGTACTCCGTACTCGGCATATTCTCAGTACAGTGGATCATTTGAACCATGGCCTATGAGCATAACTTTTCAGGAAAGCAACAAACAAAAGGCTTTGTGTTGGCATTGTAACAGAACTGGCCACATTGCACGTGTGATCGAGAGTATTAAGCTTCATATAATTTCTCTTATTTTGGCCCTTAGTAGGAAAATTATTAGAGAAATTTGTATGAATATGCTATACTATACAAACAAACAAAAGGCAAATAATTACCATTATTTGCTTAGTTGTAGCTAAGAATTACAAGAATGTCAAGTGTAATCAAGAATACTGTAACAAATGATTTTTTGTTTGTCCAAATTAGCTTTTGATTAAATTGTCTTTTACGTTTGACGATGACCTATCATTGGTTAATTGCTTATAAGTTGCAACAATCAATTCATGATTTAGTGCAGAAAATACGGCACCATAAATACAAATTAATATTGTCGTGAAATGTGCTTAGTAGGGTCTAGGCTGCCCATCTCAAGAGTATGGAAACCAAAGTTTCGAATTGGAAATCACCTGGTAATTTTAAGGGCACACATTTTCGATATTTAATTGGGAGAAGAGAACGATATGTCAATTGCATAATTAAGAATATGACATAATTTTATGGGACCGTTCAATCATACTACATAATAGTGTAATATATATACCTCCTTTGAGTTAATCAAATAGCGAAATTTAAACTGTAATGAGGTGGACTTCTACAAAGAAGTGAACATACATTCTTCATGCTTTAATTTTATAGTGATTGTGCCCCTCATCCTCTCTTTAACTTTTTAGTTCACGTCGATTTAAAAGGAACCACATAATATGACAGGAAGAGGAACTCACAACACATACTGTATTCTATAACATACCCCTTGTTAATTTTGACGAACCAACCAACAAATCAAAGGGTGCACGTAAAATAGTTATGTTTTTCTTTCTTCTTTTGATGTCAAAAAAAAAAAAAAAAAAACAAACAAACAAACAGGAGCACACTAGTTGCAAAATCGAGTAGTCTTGCGCGGTTGTTGCACCCACTACTCATCTTTGCATAATACCACAATAGTACCTATTGCTAAAAACTATACAATATCTGAAGTTTAAGACAGTGCCACAGGCAATGATGGTAGTGCCTAACAATCTGCAACCGTTCTTTGTGCATGAGAACTTCTCAAGGCTTGACTTTGTTAACTATTTCCATCAGCAGGTTGGTTACCTCAATATGTCATATACAGCATAACGTCAGGGTGAGTGTGAAATCAATCCATGGAAAAGCTGTTGAAACATTGCTCAGCCAGCGCCAGAATTTCTATTATTATCTTTAATAGAAGGATATGGTGTAGACGATCTTCCGTCTATGATGTCTTTCAAAGGCAGCAATGATCTCATCTATCTTATCTTCCCAGGAATCAATTGCATCAATCTGCATCATTTTCACATACTTATAAGAAGCTGTATGCCGGTATAACAATATAAGCATAAGCATACACTATAAAGAACACATTTTGTACAGACTTTTATTTTCAATGGAGTAATTGTATTTTTTTCAATGTTTCAATTCAATTCAATTTTCCTTTGATTCATTCTTTTCAGAGAGGTGCTTGAGGAAGGTAATGAATAGGGAGATAAATGTCCCATTGCTTACATATATACATCACACACTTAGACAGTATGTTATCCTCTGATGGGAAGACTAAATTCAACTTACAAAAAATATTATCATGGCTTCACCCCTTGCAAGCCACGACATAAAAAGACCTAATTTCCTAGAAAACGATATTTCCCAAAAACAAACACGTCCATAATTTCCTACAAAAACATCAATTTAAGTTTCATCCAAATAGTATTTTATTGCAAATTTGCAATTGACTGTCTCAATGATATTCTTCTCCCTTCCCCCCCCATTTAACTTTCAAATAAATAGAATCGTGTTTAGGTACAATAGAAAGCCCTATCATGCACCAATTGGACATTGCTAAAAAAGCCCTATGTCTACCCCTATGTCCAAATGACTGGCAAAATGAGAAACTCAAGGGTAAAATGCTACTACAAATGGCTAGCACAAAATGGATGTGGAGTAGCACCAAGTAGAAAGCAAAAAATGTAATCAATTAGTGGCAAGTGGCAACACTGACAATAATTCAATTCCCCCCACCCCCCAAAAAAAAAAAAAAAAAAAAAATCCGTTTTATATTATGTGCAACAAAGGTTTTGACACAGATTCCCAGACAAAATTTGTTTTTTAGTATTACTCCCTCCGTTTCGTATTAATAGCAACACAAGGGTGTTTACAAAATTTAAAAATATTTATAGGTTGGGGCCCAAAATAAGATTTTTATAATATAAAGTATTGTTAGTAAGACGGAGAAATAATAAAGAAAGTAGTGTAAGGCCCTGTTCTCGGCTCGGCTCAAGCTGTCAATACGAGTAAACGGGTCGGGTAAGAGTGGGTCCGGTCAACTCGGGTCGAGTCAATTCAGATTAATTCCATAACCTATGCGGGACGGGTTTGGGTAGGGTCATGCTTGAGTCAGGTCACGTCGGATCATACTTCTTATCGGGTTTAGGTCGGGTTAATATCAGGTCGGGTTACATTCGGGTCGGGTGAACAATAAGTCGGGTTTAATTCGAGTTTTCATGGGCTAGGGTAATTCTCGGGTTCTAGTCGGATTCGGTTCAAGTCAATAATTTGCGGGTTAGAATCAGGTCGGGTCATTCTCGGGTTTGAGTCGGATTCGGTTCAAGTCAATAATTTGCGGATTATAATCAGGTCGGGTCATTTTCAAGTTGCGTCATTCTCGTGTTCAAGTCAGGTTCAGTTCAAGTCAATAATTTGCGGGTTATAATCAAGTCGGGTCATTTCCATATTCGGGTTCGACTAACTATAAATAGATGTTTAAAAAAAAAAAAACTATACATAGATAATTATCATTTTTATCAAGCTAATTGATTCCTTTGACTATAATATATATGACAATAACTAGGGATTAGGGAACTATAGTCTATAATTTAGGAAGATAATTATCTCCTTTGACCATACAACAAATAAATACTATATTTAACTCTTAAATTTGAGGATGATGCTCCTTTCTTATGTTCGTCTGAACCGAGTTGGTCTCCCAAGACAAAATGCTTTGATCAACAATAATAATGTGGTCTAAATTGCATTTAAAGTGATTAGAAATCGGGTCAGGAACAATTTAGGTTGAATTTAGGTCGGGTCAATAACAAGTCGTGTTAATTTCGAGTCGGGTTAGTAACACATCGGGTTGATTTTTAGGGTTGGATAGGTAATAGGTATGGTAAAATTAAGGTCGGGTCAATAACAAGTCGGGTTGAATTTGGGTTCGGTCAATAACAAGTCGGTTTAATTTCAGGTTGGGTTTATAACAGGTTGGGTTAAATTCGGGTTGGGTTGAAATCAAGTTAGGTTAGTAACAAATCGGGTTAAATTCCGGTTTTTACGGTTTAAAACGGGTTTAGGTCAATTTCGGTTCAAGTCAAGTTCAGTGCAAATTCATTAAATTAGCCGTTGTAAACCGGTAAATCGGTGCAGGTTATAAACCAGTAAATTGGCCTTTTAAAAGCAAATTGAATGGTTCCACACACCTAATAGGACTTCCACATGATAATAGGGACCATGGTAAACATTTAGACAATTTTTATTTCCGTGCAAAAAAAAGTTAAAAAATTATAAAATTGCAGGCTATCCACACTTTTTGAGTAATTTTGAAGGTTTCCAGAACGGTGTCGTAAAGTCTTGAAATTCTGTTTGGAACCATATATGATCATTATTTGTTGTCATAAATGTTTGTGGTAGGCTTGAACTAATGAAATCGGTGCAAGTTGTAAACCGGTAAATTGGTCATTTAAAGGCAAATTGGATGGTTCCACCCACCCAATTTCTCCCAGAGGATATTAGGGACCATGGTAAACATTTCGGGAATTTGTATTTCCAGGCAAAAAAAAAAAATCAAAAAATTTAGAAGTTGAAGACTAATATCCACGTTTTTTGAGAAATCTTGGAGGTTTCGGGCCCAGTGTAGTAAAGTATTAATATTTTAGGGGATACATTTCGGGACCATATAATGTCATTTGGAACCATATATAATCATTATTTGTTATTATAAATGTTCGTGGTAGACTTGAGTTAATGAAATCAAGCTGTAAACCGATAAATTGGTAGTTTAAAGGCAAATTGGATGGTTCCATCCACCCAGTGGAACTCCCGGATAGTATTAAGGACCATGGTAAATATTTCGGCAATTTTTATTTTCGGGTGAAGAAAAGTAAGAAATTCAAAAATTGAAGGCTAATATCCATGCTTTTTGAGAAATTTTGAAGGTTTCGGGGTCCGGTGTCGAAAAGGCTTTAGATTTTTGGGGATAAATCTCGGGGTCATATAATGCTGTTTGGAACCATATATGATCATTATTTGTTGTTATAAATGTTCGTGTTAAACTTGTGTTAATGAAATCAATGCAAGTTGTAAACCGATAAATTGGTAGTTTAAAGGCAAATTGGATGGTTCCATCCACCCAACGGAACTCCCGGACGGTATTAGGGACCATGGTAAACATTTCGGCAATTTTTATTTCCGGGCGAAGAAAAGTAAAAAATTCCAAAATTGAAGGCTAATATTCACGCTTTTTGAGAAATTTTGAAGGTTTCGGAGCCCGGTGTCGAAAAACCTTTAGATTTTTGGAGATACATCTCGGGGTCATATAATGCCGTTTGGAACTATATGATCATTATACGTTTCCATAAATGTTTTAGGTAGGCTTGAGTTAATGAAATTGAGGCAAGTTGTAAATCGATAAATGGGTCGTTTAAAGGCAAATTAGATGGTTCCACCCACCTAATCAGACTCCCAGAGGATATTAGAGATCACGGTAAAAATTTCGGAATTTTTGTTTCCGAGCGAAAAAAAAGTCAAAAAATTTTAAAATTGAAGCTATATCCACGCTTTTTGAGAATTTTTGGAGTTTTCAAGACCCGATGTCGAAAAATCTTGAAATTCTATGGAACACATCTCGGGGTTGTATAATATTGTTTGGAACCATATTTAATCATTATTTGTTGTCATAAATGTTCGTGATAGGCTTGAATTAATGAAATCGGTGCAAGTTATAAACCGGTAAATTGGTCATTTAAAGGTAAATTGGATGGTTCCACCCACCAAATTGGACTCCCGGAGGGTATTAGGGACCATGGTAAACATTTTGGTAATTTTTATATTCAGTCAAAAAGAGTAAAAAAATTCCGAAATTGAAGGCTAATATCCACACTTTTTGAGAAATTTCAAATGTTTCGGGGCTCGGT